GTTACTGAAATTGTATCATCATACGATTTTTCTTGTATGACAAAAAAGCATGGCGTCGAATAACTTCGCAGATTTTTGGTCACTCTTCACCTACGTATGGGATCAATAGCTTAAAAGTTCCTCTAAACTAGCCCCTAAATTAAATTTCGTTTTACCATCGTCTTTAAGCCCATATTTTGAGCACCTAAATTTAGGGGACCTTTTAACATTTAGGTGACCCCTAACTGTCGGTGAAACAGAAACTGTCCCCTAACAGTCCCCTAATCATGCTTAGGGGATCCCTTAAACTTAGGTGACGTTGGTGAAATCGGGCATTAGAGTGCTAAAAACACGTAATACATTTTTTAATCATTCTTCTTTCCCGGACGCCGGGCGTGTGCTGACTCATGAAAAAGCACCCGTTTTCTCAATTTCATCGGAAAGAGAAGGAGCAGGTTTGCCTATACCTATCAATAGTAGGATCCTTATATCTTCCTTTGGAGGTAAACTATTTAAAAAAGGTGTATGTAGTAAATGTAAACTAATAAAAGTTATATAATATGATAACGTATGTAATACTATGTGGTTTCTTTTATGTCTTATCTTATATGTACTTGACTTACAACTATCATTCCGATCAATAATAATGTGAATGTTTATCAATTCGTAAAACCGGTTAGTTTCTTCCAAAAAGCCAAAACTAGTAATATATTTTATATACATAGTTATATAATCGAATGCTAACGATAAATATTATATATATATATATATATATATATATATATATATATATATATATATTTAGTTATTGATTTATTTTCAGTAATAACTAACAAAATATGAAATAAGAGAATTGCTATATATGATCGTGCCCCATATGGGGCTTATAGTGATCATAATAATGATAAGTCATCAAACGTCAATTTGATACTACGATTCGCCTTAAAACCTTAAGGACTTTAAAATTTGCCTAACAATTATTGAACAGTGTACACACTACTCTCACTACAGCTAGTTGTCATTCGTCATATTTAATAAGCATACACCACTTCCATAATATACCTTCATATTCTATGCACAAATATTTTTAAGGTCGCGCTAGGTCATTACACTTGCTTTTTATTTAAAAGCCAATAGAACCCGCTATCTTAAATATAATTTGTTTTTGTCATATTAATTGAATAATTGAAGGCTGATGTTATGCAAGAAGCAGTCTGGCAATGACTGACAAGTTTCTTTGATCAATGCCAAGGGATTTAATCCTACTAACTGATGACTCCTTTCGTCTTAAGTGTAAATTTTTCTATAAACTACTATTTTATTTAGAAACGTTTGTTTATGAATTAAATTTGAATTTTCTGAGTGTCTATATACTGTAACGGTCGTTTACTCGAAGACGCCTGAACCGATTTGGATTTTTTTTTTTGTTTCTAAGGATATACTTTCCAGGTGGTCCCATATAAATTTTATCCAAATCGGTACAGGGGTTTTTTAAAGTCGAGTTCGAAGTTGGTGCCAACCGATGCAAAGCAAATCGAATATATTTCGATACGTAAAATACATATTTACTTATTAGATATTCATATCTTAAAATATTGTCCGCTGGCACCGACTTCAAAAATATCTGATTAGGTATCTATTCTAAATGAAAACCTCCGTTTAGGTATTTTTTACATTTTAGTGCCTGGAAGTCGGTTTTTATTTTTTGTTAAAAAGTTTTTTATTAAACTTCACAATAATTTATGACCTTAGAATGGCACAAATTCAGGATTGGGGACTTTGCCCCTAGCGGAGTGGGTGGTATTTCTGGATAAGGGACGTGATAGGGAGTCGAAATGTTAAATAAAAAATGTTCGCGAACGTATGAGTAAAAAGTTATTGAGACTTAAAGTTACGACATTTCCATACATTTTCATATATTTCTTTACCACCATTCGGAGTGGGTGGTATTTTTAGATAGGGGAGGTGACAGAGAGTCAAAATATATTAAAAATATTTGGAGGAAACGTACGAGTAAAAAGTTATTGAGACTTACAAGTTATAACATATCTAACACATTTCCATACATTTCTTTACCTAAATAAGTGATTACAACAGATAAACATACCTTTAACGAATAGTACGCATCCTTTTTTATGTACATTACACATTTTCACAACAATTAATGCTTTATTGTATTTAATATTTTAATAATTTCACAACACAAACAAAACGATCTTACATTTTGACAAAAGCAAAACTGACACTTTGTTTTATATTACCGCTTAAATGACAACAGATTATATTTGATTATTTTTGCTTTTTCTGTTGGTAAAATATTAATATTAATAAATAAATAAATAAAAAGAAAAATATAATTTTCATTTCATAAATACATTTATGATTTTTTTTATCTGATTTATGTAAAATATATTGTTTTACAATTGTACATTTAGTAAAAAAAAAAACATTTTTTTATCTGTGAATATTTTTCAGTATTATTGGCGGGTGTTCTTAAAATACCGCGAAGTTTCATAATTTGTGACTCTGTACTCTGTGTATTTTCCATTAGTTATTAGTTTTTGTTAATTTTTATATACTTTCGTTTCTTGTTTTTGTTTTAATATTATTTTTATAGTTTTAAGTGTTCATAGTGTTAGTGTAAACAATTTATAAACGTGAGTAGACTATTTTTTTAAAATCTAAATGTATTATTTACTTTTGGTTTTTATTTTGCGACATCGTGGTTAGTTTAAGACATAGGTTATTTATTTATTATTATTCGTCATATCTTGGTTAGGTTAGGTTAGAACATTTAAGATTATTTATTTATTATTCCTCATATCTGGGTTAGGTTAGGTTAGAACATTTAAGATTATTTATTTATTATTCCTCATATCTTGGTTAGGTTAGGTTAGAACAGTTGCCACAACGCACGAGCCGAGCGAGCGAAGCGAGCGTGCCGCGGTAGCGGCCGGCGAGTGCCATAAATGACTAGAAAACTAGAAAATTCGAATTTCACGCAAAGTACAAATAAAGACAATTATCTGGAGATCATTTTGACAATTGAAAGTGACGTTTTGACTCCAAGTGTCTAAATGGTAGTAATGTCAAAATAATGTATGGAAATGTTGTAACTTTAAGTCTCAATAAATTTTTACTCATATGTTCGCGAACAATTTTTATTTAACATTTCGACTTCCTATCACGTCCCTTATCCAGAAATACCACCCACTCCGCTAGGGGCAGAGTCCCCAATCCTAAATCGCAGCCCTTAGAATAAACTATACTATATTCGTTATTTTGAAAAGTAACTTTGTACCGATTTCCATTTTTATTTCTGATTCCTTTTGGCATAATGACGTTATGATTCGAGAAAATGTAATTACGTACATCGCTAATCGCATTAGAGGACCACTGGCGCCAATCCGAACAAATCCTTGCATTTGTAGCTTGCGCTGACCAGTCACTACTCACTTTACAACGTTTGCCATTGGACTGAAAGCATAGTGAACTACACTATTTGTTATTGAGTGGACGTATTCCAGGCTATTTGTGTGTGTTTTTAATGACATTGTAAAAATGTAAATTTAAAAATAAATCTAAATATATTGGGAGAGCCTTGGGGCATAAGGAAGTGTGGAATATTTGTTTGTGAATTTTCATGTTTAAAGGAATTGTGTTACTTATCATATTCGGACAAATCTCGGAAATCATTAAAAAATCATTTCGTAAATGTGTTTCTAATTATAACTTCGAATGGTTTTTTGTCAGGCCTATTTGTGATTAGTGTTTGAAATGTGGCTAAAAATGTGTAAACGAATCGAGGGTTGTGGACATAAAGATATTAGCAAAAGAAAAGCTAAACACAGTGTCATAGAAACTTATACAAAGAAAATTTTAACTATTTTCAAAAAAGTCATCGAATATTTTGGTACGATTTTCACTAGAAATAAAAATAACCATTTTAAATATTATTTATAACGAATTAATATATATATATATAAACAAGTTTCTACTAATAATGAACAGCAATTAAGTAAACAAATTATAATAATATTATATATACAACGTTAACTTTGATTGTAATCTTTCACATAACATCAGTTTGTCATTACCTCATAGTTCATCTCATTTATATCATTATTACTGTGCCCAGGGTCGGAGGTGACGGGTCAATACGTTACTAACGTAATTGTGCATGAAATAGTTTCGCTTTAAGTAGAAATAAGGATAAGCTTATGAATTATTTTATGTCCTTGGTGGAGTTTTATATATTTCTTTTTATGTCTAATTAAAAATAATTGATTTCCTAGTTTTCCAATGAAACAATTTTTTGCTAAAATCTTTTTTCGTAAATTAACAGTTAAATATTTAAATTTTGTTACTATCCTTTTAATTGATATATTATTAAAATTAATATTCAAAAATATTAAAAAAAATATATTTTACTAACATAGGATTATTTTAAGCATGATATACTAACAAAATATTTTCTCTTTTTTTCCAATCCCACTCCTATTGTTCTTTTTTGTTTACCTGCTTATGTGTAACCTGAAAAAAAAACAATATTTTAAAACAACTCCTTCCAAATTTATATTGTATACATGCAATGGCGAAAAAAATGTTAATGATATATGCTGCAAACGCATCCATGAATTACGTATATATTGAAATTCGCGCAACATTTATCTTGTTAACAACAATGTGCCCTTTCAACACGCGACTACTTAATTGATTTAATACGTCCTGTATGTCGTAATGTCACTCTATCTCCGCGTGTTCTATTTCTGTTGGTAACAACGCATCTATTTATAAACTGGCTCAATTTTTCCGTTAAAATCAATTTTCGTAAAATATTTTATTTTTGAATTCATTATTAATAATCGAATGTACCATTGCGTATTCCATCGTTGTCTTAAATAAAAAAAATGCTATAAAAACAAATGTACATAATACCTATACCCCATCCTACCCCACCCTCCCCTTTGTGTTGCGTCTAACAGTCCATAGCCGTAGCAAAACAATATTCACATACACAGACGGGACTTATGAAGAGGAGTACAGTTGCTGGCCACCAGCTATCTGCATGATTTTCATATCAATTGTGGAGATTGTGTTGTTCGTCTATGACGCGGCGCAGGGCAAGACCGACGCGACGGGACCCATCGCGCAAATATTTATATACAATCCCCATAAACGGCAGGAGGCGTGGAGATTTTTGACGTACATGCTGGTTCATGTTGGGTGAGTTTGCTTAATTTAATTTCAAGGTTCCCCTATTTATTGGTCATAAGAGAAATAAAATTATTTGCTACTAGTTCACATGGAAGTTTTATAGAAGTATCGAATATATTTAGATATAGACCTACTTAAAATTCTAGTTTGGACTTAACTGATACTTCTTTTGCCAAATGATTGTTGTGGGTTCCATTCCCTCTCGAGCCAATTTGTTGGTTATTGTAATAATAATTAAATACCATCTCCTCAAAACACGCTTTGTCTCAAATTGATTATTTTTGGTCTGTATCTTTATTAATACAGCCCATATAAGTAACTTTTTTTTTTTGTTTTTTTTTCGCGGATATTTTGGTTTTTGGTTCCCCAAGTTTTAAATGCTTTACAGCAATTATAGACTAGAAAGGCAAAATATATACATTATACGAAACGCCGGAAAACATGTTTTTAACGAAAATATATAATGTTCGCGTAAATCTAAGAAAGCATTGCTAATAATAGTTATAACTGAACTTTACTTCCCTTCATTCCAGCGTAGTTCATCTCCTCGTTAACTTACTGGTGCAGCTGTTTCTTGGTGTGCCGCTAGAAATGGTCCATCGATGGTGGAGAGTGGTGCTCGTGTACCTCGCGGGTGTGGCTGCTGGTTCCTTGGCTACAAGCCTCACGGACCCTACAGTGTATCTCGCAGGTGCCTCTGGTGGTGTCTATGCACTGGTAGCGGCTCATATTGCAACTATTATAATGGTAATATTATTTACTGATGGCTTACTAAAAAAAAACTTTAAAAAAGTTATTAAAAACCGACTTCAAGGCACTAAAATGTAAAAAAATAACTGAACAGAGGTTTTCATTTAGAATAGATACCTAATCAGATATTTTCGAAGTCGGTGCCAGCCGATGCAAAGCACGATTCCGAAGAATTGAGAACCTCCTCCTTTTTGGAAGTTGGTTAAAAATATGTATTTACTAGCGTTTTCCCGCGCCTCCGCATGCGTAATTATTCTTTAAAAATTATAGCCCTCCATATATGTATTACTCTCATGTACATATAAACTATATTACTGTATAGTTTCTTCAAAATCAGTTTAGTGATTTTTGCATAAAAGAGTACGATACATCCATCCTTAATATATTACATGTCCATATTTTGATTACTTTCATAGACATACTACTCATTGATGAGTTCTAAGTAAGTTGTCAATTTATATTGTATTGACCTTTACAACCGAAAATCTTTCCGTTCGATGGTAACGGAATAATTTGGTAACGAAAATGAAAAAAAATGTTTGTGTGTACTTATACACGTAAAAAGTTATATTTCTTTGTTTTTTTAAAGCATTTAGATAAAAGCTTGTTTTTTTAAAATGATTGAACTTTTTTTTATGTTTTTTTACTCTTTTTTCGTATTCTTCTCAGCAAACCCTTTTATTACCCCATATCATAGGGGTGCATAAAAAACTGATGCCCATATCATAAGAGTTACTATGGAATTATAAATTCATTTTGTAACGTCCGCCATATTGGATTAAAAATAGCGGCATTTAGGCAGTCGTGCAGTCACGAGAACCAAACGTGTGCCTTCTTCAAACTATACTAAATGGAAATTTAATGACTAACTTCACAATGTAGCCAATAACGACTAACTTCATACTATACCTAGCCTAAATCTGTCGCATCGTGAAAAATTTACTCTCATCATTCATTTTTCATAAGATTTTACTTTTTTTTCTTTAATTTACTTTTCGATTTTTCTATCGAAAATTTTTCATTTCTAATCGATCTTTGTATTCGTGACATATTTTTTTTTATTTTAACAATCTCGAATCCAGCCTTTTAGACCTTAAAAATGGTATTTATTTTAACAATTTTTATGGAATTTCAGAATTGGGCAGAAATGGAGTTTGCAATAATCCAGCTGTTAGTGTTCTTATTGCTGGCGACGGTGGACATCGGCACGGCGGTGTACGACCGCTACTGGAGGCACTTGCAGCAGAATATAGGCTATGTGGCGCATCTAGCGGGCGCTGTGGCGGGTAAGATGTTTTGTGGCTAGCTACTTATTGTGATTTCTCTCGTGTGTTTTTATTTATTTACTTTGTTATTGGTAAATAGAGGTTTGGTTTTATATGGGAGCGTAGAATCAAAGGCTGTCTAATTTTAAACAACAAACTAATCTATACTAATATTATAAAGAGGTAAAGTTTTATGAGTTTGTGACGTTGTAGGGGGTAATCTCTGGATCTACTAAACCGATTTAGATGAAATTTAGTAAGAAGATAGTTTGAGACCCTGGGGAGGACATAGGATACTTTGAAACCCCGAAATAATCCCTTAAGGGGGTAAAAATGGGGATGAAAGTCTGTATGGGCGAGGGTGAGTCGCTAGTACTAAATAAAGAAATAGGCACAGACAATTTTTTAAATTAAAACTACTTTTATTTATAAATATGTCTCAGTTAAATCTAGCGCATTGTAAAGCATGAAAAATCATACACAAGGAATTTTAATTGACATTGTTTTCTATACGAAAATAGTCAGAAGGCCCGAGACTGAGATATTAAAGTATTTATCTACCTAGGAACGTCACTATTGAGATATAAAAAAATAATAGAATGATATATTTATGTATAACAATTATAATATTTAATTAATAATAATTATTATCTAAATTTCCAAAAAAAAATTATTAAACTTTTTTTACAATTCAACAGGTCTTCTGGTAGGCATAGGTGTTCTTCGGAATTTAGAGAAAAGGAAGTGGGAGAAGCGTCTCTGGTGGGCGGCGATCGTTGTTTACTTCGCCCTCATGCTAGCTGGTGTGCTAGCCAATATCTTCTGGACTTCACATTTCAAATGATTCCATTTAGTAATATTCTATACTGATTACCATCGATCAAAAAAGTACTAGATACACAATCAGCGACAAAAAATATGCTCACCGAAAGCGCGCTTATTTGAACATTTGAGCGCGCTTTTTATTTTTTTTGTGAAAACAATCTTAAGCATTGCATTTAAGGTTCAATTTACATTGTTGTATATTTATTCCAACTAGAATAATTATTACCTTAACACAATTGGTGATAGTTTTAAGGGGTTTGTTTATTTAGTACTTTTTTGATCGATGTTGATCACATATATAAATGCCGCATCTAAATTTTTCAATTATACCAAAAATGTTGTTGAAAATCGTTTTTGCAGTAGTTTATGTGATATTCAATTATGTAAAAGGGAAAGAGATATGAAATAATGCTTATAATTTATATATAACTGTCCTTCTCACTCATTAATAAAAAAAATAAAAAAATGGTGTTCATATGTCAGAAATCGTTTATGCTGTCAATGCTCAATTCTAAAATGTAGGATGTGAATTTAAATGCCTTATAAAGAGCCTGTTTTATATAAGGAACAACTCGTCTGATTTACTAAAAAATAAATATAAAACCTTAAAACATAATAATAATTAAAATAAATAGACTGAAAACGTTCCTTTTAAAATAACCTAACAATGATTTTGTGTGCAAAGATTTTGAAATGTGAGGAGTTTTTCTTTTATGATTTAGTTGATGAGATTATTTTATTAATTTGTATCAACAAGTGTATAACCACTGTGGCTCAGTGGCGTATTATACTGTATAATATTTCTCAAGTCATGGGTTCAATTATAAGCGAAAAAAATAACGTTCACACAAGGTAGGTGAGAATAAGTATACACTTATTTAATCTGTAAATGACCCTTTTGTATTTAAATCTAGCACTCAATATTATAAATGTTGCCCTGTACTGCATTACTTGCCTTATAACATAATAAAATTCAGTATTGAAAAAGTATTTTTCGATCTTCTACTTTAAATATATACTATTTTTGGTATTTTAATTGTTTATAATATATAATTTTCTTAAATAAATTATTAATTAAAATTGTGATTAGGATTTACTCTATATTACCTTTGCCTTATTATGTATTCATTACATTTATAATAAATAAAATTAATTTAATTTAGTCATAATTTATGTTACTGAATATAGTTTATATTATATTTTGAGCCATCCGTGTATTAACAGGATGATTAGTTAAGAGTTTAAATATCTTAGCAAATAAAAATTTTAATTAACCACTCTGTATAGTGTTGCCATCCTTAAATCACCTACATGTATTGTTCTTAAGTCATTATCTTAATTTATTTAAAATGTAATAATATATTTTATATTTATATTTTTTCTAATTAACTTCTATGGATGATGCTGTAGGGTTTAGTACTTTGGGCGAGAAATAACAAATTACATAAATAGTACGATATTAAATTATTTGTGAATGGAACGTTTTATGACAACGATTTTATCTATGTGGTTAAGTGTTACCAACTGTAATTATGTCATTACATTTTTTTTTGTTTCTTATAATAAAGTAATTTTAAAACATAAAAACTGTAGCTATTTATATAACTAATTTTACATAAATTCGTTTTGCTTTTACCTAGTATATATTTTAAAGTTGCAATGTTTTATAGTATGTATAGGGGTGGTGAAAGTTAATGTAAATCTGAAAGAATTTCTGCCTATGAAAGTGTATTTTAGAAGATTTATAATATAATCTGCATAATGTGTAAACAAAAACATCAATGTGACATTGATGTTTATGTTTACACATTATGCAGATTGTTTTTGTTGTGATGTGTATTTGTTGCTTTAACTCGCCTTACTTATTTGTTCAAACAACCAAGACTTATAGTTTAAATTAGAGAGTTTTTCCCTCTTTCTTAAAAACAAAGCTTCATATACAGAATTATATATTAGTATAGATAAATTACATCTTTTCGGCATTTTAAAGTAAAAATTATTTTATACTAATAGAATTGACATCTAAAAGTTAATAATTCTGTATTGAAAACCGCTGTTGGAACAAATAAGACGACGAATAATACTAAACAAAATATTACAATTTTTTGTAATCGTTTGTAGTTTTGGTATTTGGTAACCTTAAATTAAAAATAAAATATAACTACCGTGACTTGAATATTGTATTAAGAAAACGTTTTTTTCCTTTTTGCTAATTTAAATCTTAAAATTACCAAAACTCTGTACTGAATACTAATTGTGCCTTATTATACGAAATTTACCTTTTGACAACTTTACAATTTTTCTAAATAATTGGCATTTTAGACAGTTAGATTTTTTAATATGGTATGTTCTGTTTGAAGGTGGCCTAATCCTCTTTACACTGCCCTAAGTAGTATATAGAAATTATTATAAATATAAATAAGTCTGCAAAGAAGATAAATATGAGCTTTGAAGCATTCATGATTAACCCTTACCAAAATAAATAAATGTAACATTTTTTTTTTAATTTGTTGCATAAACTTAAAACAATTGTAGCTTCAGTATGATGCATCTAGACATTTTTGTTAATTTAATTTTTTGAGCTATTTATTATTATTTATTAAAGTATTGAATAGAGTTGTGTAATAATTTGTGAGTAAAAATTATTTTGATACAATGAAACTCTTAAATTAAATTTTGATTCTGTCATGACATTTTCTAAATATAAAATAAAAAGTTAAACCCAATTCAATAGTCACTGTGATACATTTATCATTACAATTATTTTGTTTAGCTTTAATAATTTTAATGATTAACATTTAATACTTTCTTAGATTTACGCGAATATTTGAACATTTGAGTAATTATAATGATTGTTAGAGAAATCAGCTAAATAAAAGTTTTAAGTAATAAGAGAACCATATTTTATTTTTCTCATAATTAGAATTTTTTTTACAGTTTTACCACATAATACTTTGTTATACAATTTATTAGAGCAATATTGAATAAGAGTTGAACATGTTAACAAGTAAGTGTTGTTTAATTAGATTAAGTTATTTTATTTTGTATTATAAATGAAAACGCACACCTCAATATGATGTGGTTATTGGAATTCAATTAAATGCCATTTTTTCATAGATTTTTTTTTATTTAACTACCCATTTATAAAATTCTATTGATTATAATTTTTCGAGATGAGTAAGGCAGTGTTACCATATTATGGGGTAATTGTGTTGCTACACATATATGTGACATTTCTGTCAATTTATGTGTAACGCTACTTGTGTATATTGTACTGAATTTCTTTCCTTTTAAATATATATTTTAAGACATATTTTAACAACACTTTATTTAGCCTTTTTTAACGTCCCCGTACTGGACACTGTCGGGCACTGCCAAGTGCGGGTTTTCTGGCTTCATGTTCTTGTCTTTCGAAAACTTGCTAGGTTCTCTCAGACCGGAAGTTCCTCGTGATCTTCTTATTCACCGTGCGGTAGGTGAAAATACATTTCAAATATAATCGAAATGATACAGGAGAGGACTGAAAAGCAGCTTATATATAGCCTTGTTTTCGTTATATGAATTGTTTACCTAGAGTAAAAACAATTGAAGTTATTGAAATGATTAAACTCAAAATTAATTTAGTTAAATTAAAACATATACTTAATTACTTATAAGAAAAACCGTCTGTTTATTTTTTTATAATTTAAATAGCCTTAAAACACTAGTACGCAGAACCATAAAAGTTGATATAAAAAGAGATACGCCAAATCAACGTGATTGGTGAATGGTGATCGGTCACCACTCAGTACAAAAGGGTTACATACTCTATGCTCAGTACATCACTTCAATCTTATTGTCAATGACAATTTGTCATTGAGCTGTGAGACGTCATTTGTCAGCTGTCGCCTGTCGGTAGTCGGTACTCGGTAGTGGATTAAGTTTGTGCACCCTAAATCCTAATCATCGTACAATAATAATACAATTTGCAATGCAACGTCTTCGACAATAATGTTTGTAGTGTATTATAAGTGAGAAACTAATACTAATTTACGCAGAATTAGGTATTAGATCTGTCGCAAGAAATGGCACATTTAAACATGATCCCGTCATTTAAGTTTTTGTTTGTTGTATTTGCTTTTATCATAAGTGGCTGTGCGCCACGCTCTATAGAAGATGACGATGAATATTTTCAATCATCTCCGAGTTACAGAAACTATGAAGACTTGGTGATATTATTTAACAAATTACAAACATCATACCCGGAACTCGCTAAAGTGTACTCGATAGGTAAGTCCGTAGAAGGACGTCAACTATTAGTGATACAAATTACACAAGGAATAAAACAGATACATCCAGAGCGCCCAGCTTTCAAATATGTGGCAAATATGCATGGTGATGAGTCTGTGGGCCGAGAGTTGGTTATATACTTAGCACAGTACTTATTGATGAATTATGGGAAAGATGAAAGAATTTCAAAGTTAGTCAACAGCACTGAAATTCATCTGATGCCATCTTTAAATCCTGATGGTTTTGATGCAAGTAAAGTAAGTGTTACAGTTTTTATATTTTTATGGTTATAAATAACATTTTGGAGATTCTGTAAAAAGTCTGTTTAAGGGTAGTATAATGTAATCTGTAATTATCTTTTTTGTTAGTGTTTAAATTTTCATTGGACTTGTGTATAAACCTTGTGAAACATTGATTAAGTTTCAATACAGAAAAGTAAATGTTTATAACAGTTACAAGTATATTTATAGATTAGAATGGCAGTTATTGACACTTCGAACTATAAACCCACTATTATCATCACATCAGAATTAAATTATTGTCAGTTTCATACTGTATGAGGGTACTTTAACAGTAACAAAAGGTTAAAAAGCAGAGTAAAAAAGGTTTACTTTTGTAGTTTTTATGATATGCTTGTAATTGTGACAAATATTTTTCTCAATAATATTAAATAATATTTACAATACTCTTACATTTACTCTCAATTCCTTAGTTTAGTTTATTTAAGAGTAAGAACTTTACTTAAATAGTTTACTACTTTTATACAGAACTTTGTTATTTTTTGGTAAAAAGTTTAGACAATAGTAGACAACTTGATTAAAGAATGCAAACCATTATACTACACTTATTAAAATAAATCAATCGGGAATTTCAATTATCACCATAGCAATACCCATTTAATAGCCTAATAGTTGTGTAAACTGTCTAATACATTATGATTTATCATTTGCAAATAGCCCTTGATAAAAAGGTCAATATAAATTGCAAAAGTGCGATTGCTATCGCATTTCAATAAACAAAGTTATTAAATATTATCAGTTTTGAAGGCAGAAATTGTAGTTGAGAACTTAAATATATACATTTGAAAAAGACTGTAGGTATTCAGCCCCTTTTTAACGTTCGAATGCTGGGCATGGGCCTCCCTATGCTACAACTTGCTGGCTGGCTTGCCAAGTGCAGGTTGGAGGACTTCACATGTCTTAGGAAATCTTACTAAGTTCTCTCATGCAGGTTTTTCTACAATCTTTTCCTTCACTATAAGACTAGACAAGTGGTAATTAATTATATTGGAAATAATTCACATATAAAAATATCAGAGGTGCAAGATCAGGAATTTGAACCTGCTTCATTTGGTTTTCCAAGTGAGGGTGTTACCACTGGGCTACCACTACCTAGTTAGGATAAATTAATATATATTTTTTAATTAAGAACCACATCAAGTCTATATTGATGTTTTAGTAATTTACCATAGTTAAAAACAATTTATTTTGCAATTAAGTAATGTAATTATCAAAAAATGTAATACAATAAGAGCCTACCTTATTTTAAATACAGTTATTGATTTAGTATTTTGCAATTACTTAATTAAAGTTAATTAAATTATTATTTTTTTATAATTAATTATGATGAAACTTCTAGACTTTAGAATTATTGAAAATGGAAATGAGTTTCAAGATTTGTTTTATAAACAAAAATCAAAATAAACTTTAACATAAAATATCATAGATTTTGTAAATATCTTACAAAATGATGAATATAAAGCATTTTAATGTCGGTTGGCCCTATTTCATGTCATAATTATCAATTTTTGCATATCCTTCATTATGATGATATTCTCCTGGCCGATTCCGGCTATGGTGGCCAATCTCATTGAGACTAGCCAACTGCACAGGAGATATTATAGTGCACAAGTGTACGCGCAGACACAACGTGCACTCTCTATTCCTGTCACTCTCATACTGCGGTGGGACGACCCCTCGACACGACCGGTGAGAGTTAAGGCGCAGGACCGACGGCTTTACGTGCTCTCCGAGGCACGGGGGTGAAACACCGCCAACTTCCCAACTCCGGGCTGTTATTGAGGCTTACTTTAACAGAAAGACTCAATAACTAAACTTGGCCCGACCCGGGACTCGAACCCAGGACCTCCGGGTGTGCAGCCGTACATGTTAGTCACTACACCACCGAGGCAGCCTTCATTATAATAAAAGGTGGAATAAACGTCCGAAAAATATACAAATATATTATGTAATAGATCGCGCGGTAGTTGTAATGGTGATGATCTTAAGTTGTTGAGGAAAATATTTTTTTCTCACTCTATAAACTTTTATACTTTTTGTTTTTTTTATTATATTTTAAAATGAAACCCAAAAATGATTTTTTTTATGATCTATATTTTAAAGTAGCATTTTACTTTCTGGAAGAGTAATTATTATAAAATAACGGCTACTATGTATGGCTCAAACAGGAGGTCTTGAGTTCGAATCCTGAATCGGGTCAATATGGAACCATACTATTGTATCAAGAAACATGCCCAAATTAGGAAATTGGACGTGTTTATGAGCCGCTGTCCTAATCTTTGGTTGCGTCGAATTACTATTTCACTGAACTGAGATATGTATGTATGATATATGAGAGTGAAAGTAAATAGTGTACATCTGTGTCTTGCACACACTTGTGCATTAATACTGACATCTCTTGCGAGATTGCTAGTTTAGAGCGCAATTTCTCACATTATTGTTATTATATATCTTTTCCAGATGCTTAATGATATAAATAAAATACCAAGTCACATTATTACACTGTTTTTTCCTAAATTTAAGAACTAGTTGTGTAGTCAGACATAAAAGTAAATTAATTATTTCATTTAACATTTAATTTTAAATAAAAAATAACGTCATACAACTTGCTATATCCTTATACATATATTACACCTCCAGGTAAATTTATACGAAATCTATTATTAACTATAACGCCGGCGTGTCCGCGGTCGTTGAGGGATTAATACGGACTTTATTTAGCGGATCTGCTCGCAGGCAAGCGGGATGATGATAAAATGTATCCTATTTTCGTTCTCATGAAATCATTTCATCAAAATCTGTTCAACAGTTTTACCGTGATGCGATAACAACTAGACAGAGCGACTTTCACAATTATAATAATAGTACCTATGGATTATTAGAATTTAGATACTTTTTAATTCATTTATATAAATTTATTATAATACCATAAAATTTATTGTAGTAAATAATAGGTATCTATACTAATATTATAAAGTGGTAAAGTTTGTGGATTGTGAGTTTGTGACGTTGTAGGGGGTAATCTTTGGGTCTACTGAATCGATTTAGATGAACATTGGTAAGAAGATAGAATAATAGAGATAGAAGATAGTTTGAGACCCTAGGAAGGACATAGGATACTTTTTATCTCGGAAATCATTCCTTAAGGGGATGAAAATGAGGATGAAAGTTTGTACGGGGAATCAACCTAGGGACGAACTCGAGCTAAGCGAGGTTGAGTCGATAGTTATATAATTAATAATATTAATAATGAAAATACTAACATTTTACTAAACGGATTAGTCTTGGTATAGTCAAACCAGTTCATTGTATAACCGGTGTGTTGAATGGAGAAATTAGCTTCAATGAAATTTGTATCGTGCGGCGATTTGTTAATTGCTGTACACGTAATATTTCTCGCCTTTCTAGTTGATTAGTTCTTATGGCTTGAGTTAAAATTATAAGGACGACAATTTTACGCTCAAAACTTTTAAACGCTTATTTACATTATATAAGTATACTCCAAAACTTTGAACCCAAAACGTTTTTTAGTATCTGTTAATTTTTGGTTAATTTTCCATTTACCTAGCGCACTTAGCTCATCTCTCAGTAACTTTTGCATAATCTAGGTATACTAATTTCTAATATTATAAAGAGTTAAAGTTTGTGAGTTTGTGAAGTTGTAGGGGGTAATCTCTGGACCTACTGTACCGATTTAGATGAAATTTGGTATTTGGATAGTTTGAGACCCTGGGAAGCACATAGGATGTTTATCCCGGAATTCAACCCTTAAGTTTGTATGGGGAATCAAGCTAGGGAGCGTAGCGAGGGTGAATCGCTAGTATTATATTATTTTTGTAGAAATCACACAGAATAATAAAACTTTTATTATTTTTCCAGGACAAACATAGTGTAAGTCACATAGAGATTATATAGCTTTCAATTAATGAAACAAAATTCAAAATCGTATTAATAATTTCGGATTTTATCTCCTACATCTAAACTCATAAACTTTATCATCTATATTAACTTAAGGTCTAAGTCTAATGAACTTTCTGATTGGCCAATTTCATTATTTGTAATACTTATAAAACAATGGATCATGGTATTTGGATAAAATTAGTACAAATTCATCTATACCTATATTATAGGAAAACGATGTTATCTATACTTATATTATATGAACATTTTCACACCTGCGAGGAAAATCCTTTTAAATCTGTATTGTAGCAATTTTGAATTTGGACTTCAAATGTATGCGAAATTATGAAAATTTTATGTATTATTCATAATGAATTGTTAAAATCTGCTTATATGTATACAATATACATAATATATAAACGATGTGTATGCAAATATTTTTTTTATAACCGTAAAGCTCGTAAATAGCTATCTATATAAATAAAAATGAATGGCTAAATGTGTTGTTAAGCGCAAAACTCAAAAACGGTTGCACTAATTTAGCTATTTTTTTTTCAAATACCTATTCGTTGAAGTCCGAGGAAGGTTCTTATGAAAAGAAAATTTGAACAATTTCACGGAAAAACGTATGAGCGCAACAGACTACTTGAATGCATTTATAGATTTTACACTTTCTCTTTCTACGATGTACAGTTTAACTTTGACTTTGTTTGTTTGTTTGTCTATCCTTCTTTCACGTCGAAACAGAGTGGCGGATTGACGTGATTTATTATGTGGAGATAGTTGGAGGCCTAGATAATGACATAGGCTACTTTTCACCGCAGGAGATTATCTCATTCCCACGGGAAAACACGTTATAATACAGCCCACAACTCATCATACCTATGTATATAATATAATATAGTCTATCTATTCCATGCTATCCGTTAAATTGTACCTAGGGACAAACCCGAGCGAAGCGAGAGTGATTCGCTAGTTAAACAAAAAAAAAAAGAAAATCTGTTGACATACGAGGAAAAAGTACCGAACTGTTTTGTCTTTGCCTATTTACGAGTATACAATATACATAATACTATATAGGTTTTTAAATTATATCACAAACTGAGTATTTAGTATATTGTTTTTTTGCAAATGTCGTGTAAATGTCACGGTAATGTTAGGCATACATTACCGTGACGCCGGCGTTACAGTTAATCCCTCCCCACGCCGGCGTGTCCGCGGTTGACAATAGATATCTTCGAATTTTAATGAATTTCTTAGAAATTTACCTGGAGGTGTTAACTGTTAACTTACCCAGATATTGTGACCTTGTTGAAATAAAATAAGTAGATAGCCATTTGTTAGAATGAATTGGCATTACCGACTCGGATCCTAAGTGAAATACATACATAAATGATCTAAACTCTACTGTCAATACAAGGCTAAGGCAAAAACATTTTAGTTTTTTGTTTTTATCCCTAAGTACATGTCTTTTGTATAAAAATATTATATACAGACAGCGCTAACTTTAGCAAATTTCGTACGGGTCCTAATCCATACTTTTAATATTATAAATGTGAAATTGTATTTCTTTGTTCGTCCTTCTTTCACGTCGAAACGGATTGACAGATTGCCGTGATTTTTTTGTGTGGATATAGAGGGCTGGACAGTAACATAGACTACTTTTTACCGGGAGAAATTATCTCATCAGTCACTCTCCAGCCCTCCAATCTCCACACAATCACGCCAATCCGTTACTCCATTTCGACGTGAAAAACAAACAAACAAACACACTTTCACATTTATAATAATAGTATGGATAATTATGTATGTTATAAACTGAATTAAACGAAAAGATTTTTATTGCAGGAAGGTAATTGCGATTCACTCCCACAATATGTTGGCAGAAGTAACGCAAGAAATGTAGATCTCAATCGGGATTTTCCCGATCAATTTGATAAGAACAAGTCGAATGATGATGAATATTTGTTCGGTGGTCGACAGCCGGAAACTCAAGCCTTGATGAGATGGGTTCTTTCCAAGCAATTCGCGTTATCTGGTAACTTACATGGAGGAGCCGTCGTGGCAAGCTACCCTTACGACGATTCGAGGTATCTATCTTTATTAAAACTTTGTTTATTTATTTGGAAACTGTGTCTATAAATATAGGTATATGTATTAGGGCGACAGTACTCAGTCTTTTCTAACGTCCCATTGCTGGCTATGGGCTTGCCTCAATACAAAGGCGATCAGGCCAACCAAGTACGGGTTTGTGGACTTCACGTGCCTTTCGAAGCTAGGTTCTCTCAGAAATGCAGGTTTCCTCGCGATGTTTTCTTTCCCCGTAAGAGAAGTGGTAATCATGTTGGAAATGATTCGCGTATTTAACACAGATTTGAACCCGTTTCACTTGGTTACCCAACCGCTTTATCTCTGGGCTACCATTGCCTATTTACGACAGGAACTACTTAGCATAAAAAGTAAAACTTAAACGTATAAAACATATTCTTTTATTATGACATAGTATAGAACTTAAAATCTATACTTAAATTAAAATCTAAGTCGAATCTGTACATTAAATATTTTTTGGAAAATATTATTGAAATAGTCATTATTATTGATACAGAGGCCGAATCTATATATAGTTTTTAGAATTTTTATCTGTCTGTTTGTCTGGGAACGCATCATGAGAAAACCACTGGACAGATTTTGATGAAATTTGGTATGATGATAGCTGGATATTCGGGTCATCATATAGGATACTTTTTACTGCGAGAAAGTATCTCATCTATAAGAAATCTATACTAAACGTTAAAACGTAACTAGAAACAAACCCGAGCGGGGCGAGGGTGAGTCGCTACTCGCTAGTAATAAAATACTGTAGTTGAAATCTCCCAAAAATTTAATTTAAATCATTATAAAATGATTTATGTATGAAGAAACTTTCACTACAAATGCTCCAAAATTTTTATATCAATACACGACGCAATGCATTTCTCTTTTCTTCATAACTCGCCCAGATACAGCATGAAATTATAAATGGCGTTATCTCTACGAACTATCGCAATCTTTGTTCACATCCGCTAATATCGACCGCAAATAAAAGTAATAAATAACATTGATGTTACTTTATATTATCTATACTTATAATAAAATTCTAACCGAGTCGAAGTTAAATATTTTTGAAACTTATTGAAATTGTCATTATTATCGATTCAGATGCCGAATCTATAGTTTTTTTGAATTGTTGTCTGTCTGTCTGGAAACGCATCACGAGAAAACCACTGGACAGATTTTGATGAAATTTGGTATAATGATAGTTGGTTATCCGGGTCAACATATAGGATACTTTTTACTGCGGAAAAATATATTCTCATCTCTTAAAAATTTATACTAAACGTCGAAACGTACGTGCAACATAATATATGTATGTACATCTCGCGACAAGGATGGAACGTGTATGTATGTCTCCATCTGTATAATACTATATTCCTTCGTGAACTTGTTTTCATCTTTTTAGTTAGGTTTTATGCAGTCGGGTTTTTTATCTATATTCTATAATATAAAAATGAATCGCCGAATGTGTTGGTAAGCGCAAATCTCGAGAGCAGCTGAACCGATTTCGCCGGGAAGGCAAAACAATTGAGTGACGTTAGTGTCGTATAAATATTAATGTTAATATTTGTCAATATTATTAACAAAAAAATATTATATGGCTAACGCTGGCTAATAACTATTTATATCTATTTAAAACGTACCTAGCGACGAACCCGAGCGAAGCGCGGGTGAGTCGCTAGTTTTTATAATATATTTTTTATTATATAGTTAATTACAAACTGTAACGAATGTGCGTCATCAGGTCATAGTTTATCCATGTAGGTACTAAATTTCATCTAAATAGGTTTTAAGAGTATTGGAAGAATAAACATACGTACATACATATACTATATATTATGTACTATGTACATACAAACTTTCGCATTTATAACATTTGTGTTAACTCGCATAATGTTTCAAATTATGTTAGAAAGATTTTGCAGGTGTATAACAATTCAATGCCTCATATTTATTTTTAAGTATATATTTAGTGTTATTCAATACATACCAATAAAAATCACGTGATCATAGCAAGGAAACGAGCTATCTATATTTGTGAGTCACACTACAGTGTTCATAAATATATAAGGTCTTTCACCTACGATATGTCTTTTGTATCGTATCAGATAACAAGTTAGCCCACTGTTGGGCGTGGACTTCCTTTCAATGCAATGGGAACGGTTCCACCACGCTGGCCCAATGCGAGTTAGCGGACTTCACACTCGCTTCTTTACAAGTCAGATTGTCTGAGACACGAGGTTTTCCAAAAATAATTTTCTTCAGAGGTGATTTGAGGTTTAAATGTGCGTGAGTCTGTAAAGCGAATCTTCTCTCAAGTGCCAATTTTTTTCTACTGAGAAATACTAGTAGATACTTACTTGCTTTCAGTACCATATCGTATTTTGTATTTTTTTTTGTAATTCAAAGAGAATGTAGAAATTCGTTTTTTTTTATTATAAACCAAGCAGTGTCATTTTGAATTTGAGTTGGGAAATTTTAATTAGGTACCTACTCTTTACTTGTTTTTGTACTTAAAATAATCTTTAAACTGTCAAGTATATGCAAAAAAGAATGTGCTAACTATCGTTTTATTTCGATTTATCGTAACGTTCATTAACCATAGTTTACGAGTATAATGAAACTTTAGGTATTTCTTAAGTTTGCCAAAAATGTGTTATTGTCATATTACATTTGCAAATAATATATTTAGTGGTAGTCATATTATAATTGTTCATAATATGATAAAAAATAATTTGTTATAATCATTTTAGTATAAAATTAAAATACTCTGTTATAACTTCCGATAGGGATTCCCCGCGTCGAACTGACCAAAAAAAGATTACCTAATGCCTATCATCTCACGCTTTTTATAAACATCGCAGACCGCAGTCTATAATAATATCTATTTTTATGTAATACTTGCTGGCTCGACAGATCTCGTTCTGTCAAATCAAGTGTGTAGCATTCCCGATTAGAAAAATGGTGTTTTTACGTTTTTCCGGGCATTCTTTTCAATTTTTCTCTTCTGAGAGTGAGATAGACATATGATATTACAATTTTCAAGTAAATTGTTTGAAGTTACGCTCTTAAGCGTTAGCTTCCTAAGGACGACTTGATAGAACCAATTATTGTGGTTTCTCGTGGGAATGAAAGATTTTCCTGCAGAAAAAGGTATCCTAAATGATTTGGTTGACTCTAGTACTACTATCTTACTACTACACAAAATTTAGTTAAAATCGGCCACCCAAACAGACAAACAGAGACAAAGAGGTAAAAAATTTAATAACTATTGTATTTGTGCCTACCTATATTGTGTGCACAATACGTTACAGTCTTTCTTTGTAAAAAAATATTTCATGTACAAATTTCGCAAATTTACTGTTTTATTATATGCATAAATAGTGTTAGGGGTAAAATGAAGAACCTTAAACATTAAAACAATTAAATTTTACTATTATATATATATATATATATATATATATATATATATATATATATATATTATATATATATATATATATATATATATATATTATATATATATATATTATATATATATACTTAAATTTTACTAATTTTAATTTTGGTAGTACTATGTCAAGCCTGAGGAGTCTGACTGGATGGGTACCACCCCCTTATCTATTTCTGCCGCCAAGCAACAATATTTGCATTGTTGTGTTCCGGTTTGAAGGATAAGGTAGCCAGCGCAATTACAGGCAAGAGGCATATTATCTTAGTCCTCACAGTGAAAACGCACCTACAGTTCTGCATTTTTGTTACATAAAATTTAAGTGCATGAACCGTAGGTGTTTTGGGCGACAGGTACCGCTTTCCATCAGGTGGGCTGTCTGCTCGTTTGTCACTGATACTATAAAAAAAACGTAAAGTGAACATATCATAGTTCAACTTTTACTTTAAGAACTTAATTTTGCAGCACCGGTAGAGACTGCTGTGTTGAAAGTTTGACACCAGATAATGCCGTCTTCAAATATCTCGCGGGCGTGTTTGCGTCTAGACACGAAGACATGAAAAAGGGTGACTCGTGTCCTGTAGAGAAGTTCAAAGATGGTCTCATTAATGGGGCATACTGGTATTCTGTGAAAGGTAATAATTTTAATAAATATTAATTTATAGAATTTGATTTTTAGATTTATAATATGACGACACGTTTGGCTCAGTTTGTAGTTGCTGCGCCAGCGGTCGCGGGTTCGAGTCCCGCTGGGGGCATTCATTTGTGTGATGAGCACGAACGTTTGTACTCCAGTCATGGATGTTTGTATTTATTATATGTATGTATTTAAAGTTATATATGTGTAGTGTATCAACTATCTGGTATCCATAACACAAGCCTCGTAGCTTACCATGGAACTAGATGGTGTTGTGTGTTAATGTCCTGACATATTTATATTTTATTTATTTGTTTATAATATGGTTAGTCAACGCATTCTACAATGACCATATTACAACGATCGACATAAAGACATCAGATACGGACTTATTCCGACGAAAATGTTCTGTTCGTAAGAATATGTTTATTCACATAATTGAAACGATTTGTTAACTTATTTATTTTTATTATTTAAATATGTATGTATTCAGGATATGTATTTGTGTATAGCAAGTATACCGACTAATATTTCATATAATAACTCTTACGCCTTAAGGTTGTCTGGAAGGGATCGCTTATAGTGATAAGGCCGCCTTCAGTATTTGTTTATTTCTTCTTTTGTATATTTCTTTATGGTGTACAATAAAGTATTAACTTACTAATATTATAAATATGAAAGTTTAATGTTTGGATGTTTGTTACTCTATCACGCCAGAACGGCTGAACGGATCTGGATGAAATTTGGCACAAAGATAGATTATAATCTGGAATAGTACACACTTTTTATACAGCAAAAATGTACGGTTCCCGTGGGATAGATTTGTTCTTCTAGAGCTAGTATCTAATATATCTACCCATCTTTATTTATTAATATTATTATATTTATTTTATGGAATGTACCTAAGCTAATAGTTTTAATTTTCTTATCATTAGTCATTTTTATTATAATATATTTAACTCAAATGACGATATAAAAAATTTAACACTGACCATTAACTCGTGGCTTCCTAACTACATGCATGATTAAAACATTTATAGTCCAACTTCAACTGAATGTAATAAAAAACAGCTCAAAAACGATTACACTTAGGGATACATAATTAAACAGTATACAAAGAAAGTTATGTACATTAACTTAAATATAATTATAAAACTAACTAACTCATCCTATGCGTGGAATTATATCTAGAAAATTTGATAAATATTAGTTGAAATGAATGAGAATGTTGAATTTTACTTTACAATTGGAATTTTGTGTGTGTAAATTACTTATATTATCATGTTTTTGAAGATTGTCAAAATTGTTATGAAGTTGTAACATGTAAGTTATCACTTCTAGGTGGCATGCAAGACTTCAACTACCTTCATTCAAATTGCTTTGAGGTGACCTTCGAGCTGTCCTGCTGCAAGTATCCAAAAGCTGAAGAGCTTCCAAAGTTTTGGTCGATAAATAAGGAACCCTTGTTGTCTTTTATTGAGCAAACCAATATTGGTATGCAAGGGTTCGTGGTGGACGAAGAAGACAAACCAGTAAAGGTGGGCATATCTTATAACTTTATATCACGGGTATTATAGATAAAATTAATTATTAAATGTTCCCAACTTGATGTTATTTTGGTTGTCTGACTCGGGATTCATACCCGGGACCTCCGAATCTGCTACCTTACATATCTGCATATGTTTTTGATGCGAGCAAGGCCACTTATCTATAAATATGTAGTGTATATATAGTATGTATTTAGCCCTGTTTAAGTCCCACTGCTGGGCATGGATCACCTTTAATACAAGGGGGATCAAGCCAAAGTCCACCACGCTAGCCAAGTGCTGGTTGGTGGACTTCACATGTCTTTCTAAAACTAGAGTCTCTCAGACATGCAATTTTCCTCACAATATTTTCCTTCACCATAAGATAATCATGTTATAAATTATTCGCACATAAAATATCAAAGATGGGAATGGGGAAATATGGGATTTGATTCTGCTTCACTCGATTTCTCAAGCGGATCCGTTACCACTGGGCTACAACTACTTTAGATAATATGTAATTTTAACAATTATTCTTATTTCTTCTAGAATGCCCAAATAATGGTAGAAGGTATCGATCACAGTATAAAGACTACGGAGTACGGCGCGTACTGGCGTCTCCTGCTGCCTGGACAATATAACGTGTCCGTGTCAGCTCCTGGGTGAGTAAAAATTTAAAAACAAATAATATTAAACATATTGATGATTGTTGATTCGACTTCTATTAATAAATGACAAAAAAAATTCCGAAATTTTTTCTTAATTCTACACTTATCTTATTTTATATATTATTCAATCTATTGCAAGATTTGGTGGTAGTATTATTGAAAAAGGTCTCTTCGTAAGAGAATTTATTTTAAAATAATAATAACCATATAACTGTACAATCTGCAAAAAGTACATAAGAATGTATACACGGGCCTTCTCTGTTCCCTCACTCCAATGATAGTCTAAGGACAATATTAAACTGGGAAGAAATATGGCGCATGATCCAAATCTGAGATGTCACTAAGGATTTCTTATCAGCAAACCTAGCTATCCCAAATGACTGTTTTATTTATTTTTTCAATTCAAAATTCGGAACTAGCCTAACCATCTGTAGCCATTTGCCTTTTTTAAATTTAGAATACGGAATATTTAATCTTTATCCAGATACACAAACGCACCCCTACTGACAGTGACAGTGACAAGCGAGAAACCGTCAATAGCTAACTTCACTCTGCACCGCCGACCGCGCTCATTCACAGCTGGTAAGTCTACACGTTACAACCTGCAAAACACGACACAAACACAAAACACAATTATACCCGACACATCCCGATACACATCAATTAGGAACACAACACTGGATATTTATAGACACAATACAGCTGCTACTGTTACACATTGTTGGTTATTGTTCAATTGTGTATTGGTTCTTATATTGCAAACTTAAATTTGTGCATTTTTTTTGTCTGTGAAGATTAGGGTGAAAAGTTCTTCATGTATTGATTGACATAAGCCACCCGTTTAGTAAATATGTGGAATTTTTAGTTCTTTTTCTACTCACTAGCCGCGCTGATGTCATATAGCTGTCAAAATGTACTGAAGATAGATTTTAAAGATTTTTGATTGGCGAATACCTGCTTGCTTTTATTGATATAATGTAGCATTATCGTTTGGAAAAGCTCATTTGTTTGTAAAGTTGCGCGTCCCGACTTTTTGGGGTAGATGTCCATACTAAATCATGGGACCTTAAAATGTTGAAATGTCGACACTCTATCCTGTAATGACGTAGATAATCTTTAAGGCTTTTTTTTCATTTCTAACTCTAGAGGGAAAGGAGTTGACATATTTTAAAAGTGGAAAAAGTATTAAAGTTAGTCTAGTAATTTTATTGCGTGTTTTATATCTAACCTTCATGGAGCGTTTTAAAGAAGTATTTTCACATTAAAACTAGATAAGATAAGGTTATTTACACACTTGCATTAATATGGTAAAAAATACACCATTTCATATTGTATTGTGTCATAGGGAATGCATCTGATAATAATAATTATATGTATCTCACATATTAATATAAACATTTTATTAGCTCTTCATAAGAAAAGTATTATTTTGGGCAACTAAATTGTGCTCAAATGGCTTAGTTAATTTTAGGTTTTGTTTATTCATGAATGTTTTCAAATTTAAAATATGAACAATATTATATTTTATATCGTAAATTACGTACACATATTAAACATAATATAAACCTATGAGAAAAAATGCGAATTAAATGTATTTTTTTATATTTTTTTTATGATCCGATTTTTTTTATAGATAAAAAATATTGTATTTGTTTATATTAGCTGCTTAAAAACAACAAAAGACACTTACAGATTATTTAAGTCAATTAACCAGTGGTGTGTGTTGTAAATATAACAATTATTGTAACTATTTATATTCATTTTTAATGTCTCGAATGTATACTAATTTTATTGGTGGTTGTGTAACAAATTTAGATGATACGTTTTTACATTTCACCATTCCTATATCATAGTATTTAAGCACTATAAACGTAGGCCTAAGTGAAATTACATTATATTTCTTTTTAAAAAATGAATTATATTTAGTGACTTTTTTTCATATTTTTTTAATTTGTTGCCATATTATCATATGTTAGATGTATACGATACATAATGAATTCGCACAAACTAAAAATCGGTTTATATTAAAGCAATAAAGTTAATATTGTGGTAGTTCAATATAAATAATAGTGTCACTGCCATTTTTAATAACATATGATATGTAAGCTAAGCATATAATAAGATTTAAATTTACATTATTTAGCTCAATTTAGTAAAAACTTTTTAAGTTGTTAACTAAAGTCGATATTTGACGAGAAGTTATTCAAAAAGCTTATGATAAATTGTGATATTTTTTTCAGTCTGTAATAAAAATATTTTTAAGGGTATAAAGAAAAATGAACATGATTGTGTCATATGCAAAGTTTTTGCTCACTTCGATATTTATTGCTCACGAAATATATAGAGTTGTTTGTATTTTATAAAAAACTTAATGTTTAATTTATTTAATTGTAAAATACAAATATTGTTTAATCGTAAAATAAAGTCAGTGGAAAAATCGTAATTTGTTTCAATTTTTTCTGTTCATTTTTCTATTTTTTTTTGTTATGTAAGTGTCTGTGGTCTGTGGATGGGTTTATTTCGGTTGCTTAAGCTTATTAATTTTCTGATTCGCAAAATATACTTTAAAGCCATTAAATTTTGCACATTTAAGACAAGTCCTTGCTTATTTGAGCTTTTACACGAAAAAAGGCTGTCTAATTATACTAAATCATGTATTAGAAGGATTTTTTTAATGAATTTAACTTTTATATTTGTGTACGTATAAAGCCTTCTTTCATTTTTTGGCTTACTAAGAATTTTGTTGCCTATTTTTTAAATTAGTTCTTAAATATATATTTTTGGTGTTGGTTTTTTCTTACTTCTGTTACGCACCGTTGATTTGCCCGTTATGTGTTCCTATTAGTTTTTTACTCTTACCTATTTCTTCATTTTCCGCTTTAAAGTCTTTAAACTCCATAACCACATTTATTAGATATACACATAAAATCTAGAAAGCTGTAGTTTTTGTTACTTAACAAAATTGCTTGAAATTAGATTATACAGACAAATAGAAATTAAAAAATAAATTTATATAAGAAATTCATAGTACCATATAAAGGTACGCGTCTAAGAGGCAAATCAGTGCGTAACAGGTCCACTCGTCACGCCATCGACGGTCTTTCCGCAGTGGACTTCAACCACCATAACTACCTGATGATGGAGAGATACCTTCAGGACCTGGCGGAATCTTACCCTCACATCACCAAACTGACAAGTATTGGGAAGAGTGTGGAAGGCAGAGAACTGTATGTTTTGGAAATAACGAAAGACCCTGGAAGGCACATACCTGGTTTGTAAAAGTTTCAGATAATTAGATTATTTTGTGTAATAAGTAATATGTAACAAGGCACAGTGGAAAGTTAATGTTCATTGTCGCTGCTAATTATACACTTTCATATTTTTTTAATAATTAAAATTGGGTTAACCTTACAAACAGTATTGGTTTAATATTTTGTAATTATTTTTCCTCAAGGAAAAATGATTCGACAAGGAACAATCAAATCAAAGAAAAAAAAATCTCGTTAAAATCTGGCTAATATTTTAGTTCTATTTGAAGCTTTGGGTTCGAGACCCGGATCAAGTATAGCTATTGGATGTTTTATTTCAAGAAATTTACAGTAACAGCCTAGAGGTTGTGGTATTATACCCCTACATGTGTGAGAATATATAAAACTGTCTGGCTTGAGATTGATCTGTCTTTACAAATACTCGTTATATGAAAAAATGATGGAAAGTGCAAATCGGTAGCGTTTGCGCAAAAACTATACATTACCATTACCGAAATCGGTCATAATTACTTAATTTTAAGAATTTTATATGAAAATATGACTTATACCCACAATTCTTAATCCCACTACAGGAAAACCAGAGTTTAAATACGTAGCTAACATGCACGGTAACGAGGTGGTTGGGCGTGAGATGCTCCTTCTCCTGGCCAAGTACCTCTGCCAGCAGTATGCGAGTAACGACCTTCGCATACAAACCCTCCTGAACACCACCAGGGTGCACCTGATGCCGAGTATGAACCCTGATGGATATGAGCATGCGAGAGTCAGTGAGTGGCTTGGTTTTGTTTTTTTTTTAATTTAACAGGAATTTTTCTCTTTTTTTGGATGATTTGAATGTTTTTTTTGACGAGATAGGATATTATCTGTTTCATATTGATTATAGTTTTTGATAGCCTGATTCATATGATAGTGATAACAGATAAAGAGTTTTTAGAATTTAGGCAACAGTGATGATGACGTTTTAATGTTTATCTTTTTCGGGACCTTAAAAGAACCCTAAAAATTTTTTTTCAAGATTTTATAATACCGCTTTGTCGACGTAACTAATATGTAGATATATCCATGCCTAATTACAGCTTTCAAGTACTAAGAGTCTTTGAGCTAAGTGGGGACAGACGGACGGACGGAACGAAATGAAAATAAATACTATTTTCGTATTATTAGTGTCAATCTTTCGTATTTGTTATTTATTTAAAGAAAGAAATCAGTTTTGTTTATAGATTTTTAAATAAATAAAAAAAAAGTCTATTGTTATACAAATTCAACTTTACAATATTTATTTAATAACAACGTTTTTTCACGTATTAGCATTTCATAATCTAAGAAAAACAATCAGTAAGTTATAATTGTGATTTGTGTAGCTTTATTTAATTTGTGTGTTGCACTAAATAAAAAGGATAGATAGACATATAAAAAAAAAAACAAAAAAAAACGATGTAATCTTTACGCGCGATTGAAGTAAAACTTCTTTGGGAAATATCGCAATTATATTAAAACAATCCAAACAAATTTGATAATTAAATAAGGCATGTTAGGCATACTACAATCATTTATTTATTTCTATAAAATCATATATTTATCAAATACAGAAAGAATATAATATTATATATCATTTGTCAGACAATAACAACGGTTACCATGGCAACAATTAGTCATAATAGCATGTAATGTATTCTATCTCATTCTCTCGCCGGCTTCATCCTATATATTTATGTCTTTGTCTCTTTCTCGTATCGCATTTTCGTTTCATCGAGTTTCCAATCACAACGATTCTAAAGAAGTTTCACTTCAATAAGAACATTTCGAACAATAAAATAAAACTAAACTGCTTATCATGACTTCTTCTACAAATAGAATACCAATGAGGTGATAACTGCTGTGTCTATCTTATTCTTACATATTTTTACGGGATCTGGCATGAGTGTTCTAAAATATTGATTTTTTTGATTCCATTCGTATGTTTAGTTTTTTAGAGTGTCACAGAGTGATGATTAATATATTTTTTTATCATATTTATTTATTTCGTGAAGCTAAATTTGATTTTTTTTTAATAATTTTATTGCTTTGTTGTTTTTATGTTTTTTTTAAATACATAGAAGTAATAAGAAACGTATTATTAATTATTCAATATATCCTTAGATGACTATAGCAGTATCCATGGCAGAGCGAATGCGCATGATGTCGATCTTAACAGAAACTTCCCTGACCAGTATGGACCAACACAGGTACAAAATATTAAGTCTATTTTATTTTTTCTTCTTCGTATAAATATTTTGAAGTCTTCTAAATTATTTAAGTTGTACGGTAAATAAGTTTTTCGAGATACATTGAATATCGATATATTCTATAGATTAATCGATTATTTTTAAAACAAAGATGGTATTCAACTAGCGACTCATCCTCGCAGATATGTTTTAACAGTTAGTATGGAATGGATAGACTATTATATTTTTTTATGATATATATCCTATAGCCTTCCACAATAAACTTCCAAGAATTTTTCAAATCGGATTAGTTGTTCCTGAGATTAGCGCGTTCAAACAAACAAACTCTATAATAATGGTATAGATTTGCCAAATCTCGAATTTATTTTATTACACATTTTAATTAAATTAATAAATAGATATCATAATACTTAGATGTACGCGAATATTTGACATTTAAAAAAACTATCACTTCGGATTTATAATTTCATAACACCATTTTAATTTTCCAGGATAACAAAATACAGGAGCCGGAAACAGCAGCAGTAATGAATTGGACGATGTCCATACCGTTTGTGCTATCTGCGAACTTGCACGGTGGGTCGTTGGTAGCCAACTATCCGTACGATGGCAACCCAGACATGACCGATGGACAAGAGAACTTGACACCGGATAACGAAGTCTTCGTCCATCTTGCTCACGTTTATTCTGATGTAAGTTGAGATTTGGTTAGTTATTATATGTTTGTTTGATGATTTCTTAAGAAGAAGGTTATGTGTTTATCCAGATATATGTTAGCTATCAGATGAACACTCAGAAATTATACACAGAAAAATCTATTACGTATTTCTCATACAATAAAGGTTCCTAGCAAGTCTCTATTATATTCCTTATCCTTATTAAGTTAACCCTATCTTTACGCATACTATCTTTCAAATTAATATGTTCTCTTACATCAAATATTGAGTTTCAATGTATTGTCTGCTTGCTTGGTACGTTTTAACGGTTAATATGGAATAGATAGTCGATCCCTTGCTCTGTAAAAAAACAAACACAAATCTATCCCACGGGAACCGTTAATTTTTGGGGGATAATAAGTTACTTATATGCTATTCCGGACCATAATCTATCTCTTTGCCAAATTTAATCCAGATCCGTTTAGCCGTTCTGGCGTGATTAAGTAACAAACATCCATCCAAACCATCGCATTTATAGAATGCTATCTGACAGTACAGAATCACGCGTTTCTATACATTTACGCTCATATCTCGTGTTAGATATAAGCATTTTACAAATTATTATACATTTTATAAATAAATAATTTATTGAGAGCAGTGAAGCATATAAAAATATGAATATTTTGAACCAACATTTTCTTTTTCTTCGCAGGCGCATCATACAATGCATTTGGGACAGCCATGCAGAGGTCACAATAATGAATACTTTCCAGGTGGAATAACAAATGGCGCTGATTGGTACGGACATTTTAATATGTTAAACGGATAATAATTCTAAAACCTATTCTAATTTTTTTAATTCGCCTTAAAAATTCTGACTAAGGCTAATCATTTTGTCGTTTTGAAGTATCTTTTCTGTTTCAAAGTTGAGAACACTTACAGATTATTTTGAAAGTGTTTTTTTTAATTTTAGTAACTGAATGTAAACAAAAATGCAATCGTAGCCTACCGATAACACGCCCACTTAGACAATTAAGTCAGCCGAGTTCAAACTCGGGTCTTAGATTTTAACTTCTGAGGTGTTAATGAATCGTATTTTAACTTATTTAGTACTGCTAATGAAATGGTAAAGGAAATTACCGTATTTAGCCAAGATTGTGGCCTATTCCTCCAGCTTTAATTAGTGGCCAGTGTACAGCAATAGAATGCTAAAGGCACTCACATTTGATTACTACAGACTTTCATCGCTTCACTCTGATGCATCTCTGGGTGTCTTAAAGAAACCTATGTGCTATTCCGACACGTTTTGACGTAGACACGACGACTATTTTGACATGTTTGGCTCAATTTGTAGTGACCCTTCTTGCTGTGCCAGCTGTCGCGGGTTCGAGTCCCGCCGGGGGCATTCATTTGTGTGATTAGTACGAATGTTTGTACTTCACTCATGGGTGTTTATATTTATAATATGTATGTATTTAAAATTATATATGTGTAGTGTATCAACTATCTGGTACCCATAACACAAGCCTCGTTAGCTTACAATGGAACAAGATGGTGTTGTGTGTTAATGTCCCAATATATATTTTATTCCAAGTCATAGTCCATGTGTATACTAAATCCCATCCAAATCTGCTCAGCCCTTTTAGCGTGAAAGACCAAAACAGACACTTAAAAATATTGTCATTTATAACTCTAGCTCGATAAGATAATATCGAAAATAAATTTCAGGTACGTCCTAGCCGGAGGTATGCAAGATTGGAACTACCTACATACAAACGATATGGAGATCACTCTGGAGCTCGGCTGCTACAAGTTCCCTCCCGCCTCCGACCTGCCGACATATTGGGAGGACAACAAAGAGGCCCTCATACAGTTTATTGAACAGGTATATTCTTTATTGTGAAAGGTGTGGTATAGTTTTCCTGTAACTTTCATATTTAATTTGAAAATATTATTTAAATATCTTAATTAAAGTAATTAAACTTAAATTTTAAATAAAACTATCTTTTCGGATTAATTTGCGGATTTATTTTCATTTTTGGTTCCCGACGTTACGTTTCGACGTTTAAACTTGTAGGTATGTAGGTTAGATTTGTTATCTTTCGTTGTTAGCGTCGTTTGTTGAACAATGAAAAATGGAGGGTCTGCATTGTGATTGTGTAACCTTAATACTTTCTTCTATTTACACGAATATTTTTCACGAAGTCACTTTAATCAAAACAATTTTCGCATATTTTCGCGGATTTATTTTGATATTTGGTTCTCTACGTCTCGAATGCTTTAGAGCAATCATGGTCATGGGAGAGACTAATGTTCCCTGTTAGGTTTGACTTAACTTCGCTTTGGGTGCATCTCTATGTACCTAATTGTAGCCTTTGTGTAGTATCTGTGTACTAAATTTTATCTAAATCCGTTGGGCAGTTTCAACGTGAATGAGTAACAAACATACAAACTTTCGCGTTTATATTAGTATACTTCAAATATTATAAGTCTAAATAAAAACTTCTTTTTTTCGTATTTTTTTGCTGATTTATTTTGACTGTCACAGAAGAGACCATGATGGTTGTAAAGCATTCAAAACGTCGGGAAACCAAAAATTAAAATTAATCTGCGAAATAGTCCGAAGTTATCATTTAAAATGTCAAATAATAACGTTAATTTAAGAAAGTATAACTAATGTTTACAACAGTTTCGGAGATTAGCCCGTACAAATAGATAACAGACAGAGAAACAAAAAATTAAAAAGCTCGATTTGTTCTATTTCTCTTCTTACATCCCTCTGACTGTTTTAAGCATTTTTTTACTATGTACAGACATTCGACCTCTACAGTTTTATTATATGTATAGATTTATCTATCCACCAGGTGCACAAAGGCATCCACGGCTTCGTCCACAGCCACATAGGCCACGGGCTGGGCGGCGCGGCCGTGAGCGTGGCGGGCGTGAGCCACACAGTACGCAGCGCGCCGCACGGCGACTACTGGCGGCTGCTCGTGCCCGGCACCTACAACGTCACTGCGAGTAAAGAAGGGTGAGCTCACTTGTGTCTGTACATCAGGGCTCAGAAACCGGTTAATTGTTTTTAAACCGATTTCGGTCATTGACCCGTTTGGTTTATCGGTTTAAGGTTTCGGTAACGATTTTTGACGATTCCATGATCGAAATTGATTAAATCATCGCTCGTTCATTACCGAAATTAGCCGTTTTTTTTAATCGGTTCTAAGCACTGCATATAACATGGAAGTATTGCATGATTTTTCTCAAATAAAGATATCTTAAAAATTACCCAGATAAAACGTTTAAATTAAAGTTTTCTTTAAAATTAAATTAGAAACAAATTGATATCATTATTTTGGCATTTTCGTACAAATTAAAATATTACCGACAATTTATTGAAATTAAGACATGACGATTACGTTCGTGTTAGCTTATAAAAAATATTTGAAAAAAAAAACTAAAATGAACGCTAAATTTTTATATTTGTTTATTGAAAAGTCAATATTAAATAAATGACTAAAAAAATTAATAAACTGCTTATTTTATCTATGACAAAATTACAATATATAATTTTCTAAATTACGATAAACATAAATTAATAAACTATTACTCCTCTTTTCAAAATTATTGCTTTCTATTCATTTTATTATAACAATAAATATTTTCATTTAATATTCAGATACGAATCCGTTACGGAACAAGTGACAGTTCCAGCAAGCGGCTCCGTCAGCCTCAACTTCACGCTGATGCCGGACGACCCGCAGCACTGGTCTTCTGCGTATGACTTCCGGTAAGTGGTTAATATGAACACCCGAAACTCTTTCTCTCGGAACTGTCGATGGTAGGTCTCACTAAAACAAAGCTGGTGACGTCACATGTCAATGGTATGTTGTCTTTGATAAGCTTTCTAAAGATTATTTTATCATTTTAAAATATTTAAATATCTGAATTATACTAATAACAGGGATGATAGACTACATATTATACTAAATGTTTATTTTTAATTTTTCTAAAATTCTTTCGTCTCAAAAGAGTTACCTTTAACATGAAAATAAATATAAATATCGTATAGCGCTTAGGTGCTATAAATTTTTGCGATGTTATTAATTCAACCGAAATAAAAAAAATAAAGAAAGAAACTGATTCGATTCCAAAAGTCATTTGAAAAAGAAATATTTGCAGTAAGCAAATTTTTTTGCCTATTGTTTTCTCCGCCATGTCAGTGGCGCGATTTTAGCTACATTTAGAGTTCTCACTCTCATTGTCAAATATATATTTTTTTAGTTAGTATCTCCATGGTTGTGGCAAATAAATAAAGGCAAGTAACTCTAATAAAATAAGAAAATAAATTAATAATTTATGAGGGCGAAAAGCATTCTCAAATTTATTGCTGAGTGAAAGAGAGTCTGATATTTATTTCATGGATTTTGGCTTGCACTTTGGATCTTGTGTATATGTCGTTTACATTTCTTGTTTGTGTATGCTTTATATTGTACTTTATTATTTTAAAAATTTAACGATCAATTGAATTCTAGTCTTTTTACTCTATTTTTTTTACTCCTGAACTATTATTATTATTATTATTGAACTTTTAACAATTCTTTTTATTTATTTAGAATGTCATGCTTAAATTTTAAAGACGTTTTCTTTCGTTTACAAGACATTCGATTTTTTCTCATCTACTGGAATTCATTTGCGTGTTTGTTTTAAAACAAATAGTTTAAATGCTTTATTATTTATCATTTTTTATTCCTACTTATCCATTTATAAGTTTGTGGTCATACATATATGTATATAAAATACAATATGTATATAAAATACATATATTTATATAAATAATTCTTTTGTAGCCATTAAAAATATTAAGTACTTTAAAAAAGTTAAAAAAAAATGTTTATATATTCTCGTATCTTATATACATATAAATCAATACAAGTCAAAAAAAATATTACTAATTTATGGTTTTATTATTTCATGCACATTGTTTTATCTGTATTATACTTCTTACTTTAAAAAAAAACAAAATGGCGTTAATTCTATCCATAATTTGAAATATTGAATTAGAAGTGCCTAACTATTTATTCATTTGCCAATCAACTGTAGCAATATTTATTTACGATTAGTATAATACAGTATGTTACTTATTATTTTATTACTATATATTACTAATAAATATGTATACTTCCTGGCATATTTGTGTATTGTTTTCTACTAACTGTCTGTCTGTACTAATTTTTCCCTTCGTTTAACGTTGTAACCATCGATCAAAAAAGTACTAGATACACAATCAGCGACAAAAAATGTCCTCACCGAATTAGCGGTCATTTGAACACTTGGGCGCGCTTTTAATTTAAAAATATTTTTGTGAAAACTACTTTAACCTTTGCATTTAAGGTTGAATTTACTTTGTTTTATACTTATTAGAACACCTAGAATAATTACCTAAACACAATTGGTGACAGTTTTAAGAGAACTTTTGCATGGGTTTGTGTATTTAGTACTTTTTTGATCGATGGTTGTAACGTTTTTATACTACCGTTATATTTTGCTTACAGAATTATTTTAAGCGACATACATACATACGTATTAGATTAGTTTTAAAACTTTTTTCGGAGATTTTGAATGAATTTCTAACTATAATATATTTTTTAATATAATTTTAAGGACTATCGCAAAACACCCATGCTATTTTTTATTGGACTTTTTCGAATACAAAATATTTTATTTCATATCGAAGTACTAATCTAATTGTGAACACTTGTATGTTTGTATGTTTTTTACTACTTTACGCTCAAATAGCTGGATGGTTATTAAAGAAATTTAAGTATACAATTATATCATGTCCTGGATTAACGCATAGCCAAAAAGATAGATTTACATTTTTAATCATTGAATTTAGTATTTTTGTAAAGGTTAACAAGTAACATGTTATTGCCAATTAACATTTATGATTTAATATATCCAAAAATGTCAACCACCCCAACAATTGACGCAGCGTGTTAGACAACATCGTGAACACGCGCTACCACGCGCCGCTGGAGGTGTACGCGAGCCTCGCCGAGGTGGAGAACCGGCACCCGGACGTCGCCGAGTTCCGCGCCGGCGACAGCCTCGACACCGCCATGCTGCACGAGCTCAAGCTCACCAGTGACGTATGTAGTCCAGCCGACACGTTTGGCTCAGTTGGTAGTGACCCTACGTGCTGTTCCAGCAGTCGCGGGTTCGACTCCCGCTGGGGGCATTCATTTGCGTGATGAGCAGGGATGTTGGTACTCCAGTCATGGGTGTTTATATTTATAATATTTATGTATTTAAAAGTTATATATGTAGTGTATCAACTATCTGGTATCCATAACACAAGCCTCGTAGCTTACCATGGAACTAGATGGTGCTGTGTGTTAATGTCCCAACATTTATTTTTTTATATTCATTTATTGAACACATAATATGGGAGTTTCCCTACAATAGGCATGAGATATATACAAGGAGTCCAATCTCCCCAAGGTTTCATATATATATATATATATATATATATATATATATATATATATATATATCTATATATTCTAGAAATTGAATAGTTCTAGAAATCGATATAGTTCTAGAAATTGCCACAAGTCGCGCTGATTTACGTAACTACCACGTGAATTTACTATTACTCTTTGTCTCGTTGCTTTTTAGTTGACAAAACAAAAACAGATGTTGTTTTGTTTAAAAAAGCACTTTAGGTGGTGTGCGTAAGTTCGAGTTTGTGTTTAGACAATTAGAACTTTCGATTATTGAATTATATTCTTTGGTTTGACACGTCACATATTGTATCTGTGTTTTTATATATCAACTAGCGATTCACCCTCGCCTCACTCGAGTTCGTCCCTAGGTTGATTCCCCATACAAACTTTCATCCCCATTTTCACCTCCTGAAGGGATGGTTTCTGGAATAAAAAATATCCTATATCCTTCCCAGGGTCTCAAACTATCTTATTACCAAATTTCATCTAAATCGGTCCAGTAGTTTTTGAGTTTATTCGTTACAAACAAACAAAAATACATACCTCTTCTCTCTATAATAGTAGTGTAGATGTGTATAACCGAATAAATATGAAATTTTTTTGTTTACAGTCAGGTTCACCCGAAGAACAAAAGTTCCATATAGCTCTCATCAGCAATTTATACGGTTCTCAGCCTCTAGGGCAAGAGATGTTGATAAACTTCGCGCGTCACATCGCCACCGCATACTCCATAGGCGAGCCGAGACACAAAAAACTATTACAAAACGCAGTTTTGCATTTCATACCTAATCTAGACCCATTGTTCAATAAAATGATCAAGTTATACGATCACACAGAGAAATGCGATCTAGAGCCTTTAGAAGAAGAATTTGCAGATAGCCTTTACAACTATCTGACCAAAAAAGATATTAATCCACTATCAAATTATACAAGGGAAAAGGCTTTCATTCATTTATTAGAAGTAGAACAATTCGATTTGATACTCAACTTGGGCTCTGGTACAGAAGACGCGAATGTTCCAAACTTTTCCAAGGAAATATATGAGAAATATGCGGAAAAATATCAAGATAATAGGACGCCTATGACTAAATATACTTGTAAAGACACTTCTATGGTGGCACAAGAGAATCTTATTGATCTCATATTTGAGAGATTCAATACTCCAATAGTGTCCGTTGGACTGAGTTGCTGTAAAATGCCGCTTGAGAAGGACATTGGATGGATCTGGAGGAACAATTTGCATGGAATCATGAAGTTTATTGAGCAAGCCAATACTGGTAAGTTGTGGAAATTATAATATTTTCTTCAATCAGGAATCAAATTCGTATAATCTTAGAAGTGTAACTGGTTGATGGGATGGGTTATATTTAACAGTTTTAAGGCTGTGTTGTGTGTTATTCGATAACTGAATCCGAACATACTTTAAGTATTCAGCTAATTTTAGATTACTTCATAATAATAAATTCGAATAAGTTATATAAAATTTATTTTAAACTAACTCAAAAGTATCTAGAAAATACATTACATTCGATATTATTAAAAAAACTCTGAAAAAGGTATACATACTTTCATCATCTATTTAACCCCTTTAAGGGATGAATTTCGAAAAATGCTAAAACACATTTTTATTTAATTGTATTGAAGAGCATTAATACCAAATTTCAAGTAATTCCGATCGTAAATAATTTTTTGGGTCATATTGTAACGTGTTTTCCCGTGGGAATGAGACAATCTCCCACAGTAAAATGTAGCCTATGTCACTCTCCAACCCTCCAAATATCTCCGCACAAAAAATCACACCAATCCGTCACTCTGTTTCGTTGTGAAATAAACAAACACACTTTCACATTAATAATATTAACTAGCATTGCACGCGGCTCCGCCCGGGTTCAAATGACCAAAAACCAAATTCTTAGGTTGTACATATTAGTATACTCGTACATTGCAGTTTTTGTATTTTTTCTCAGAAATGAGATATTTTCCCGCAGTAAAAAGTATCCTATATGTTGACCCGGATAACCAGCTCACCATACCAAATTTCATCAAAATCCCTCTAATGGTTTTTCTGTGATGCGGTAACAGACAGACCGACAGACAGACAAAAATTCTAAAAACTATAGATTCGGCCTGTGTATCGATAATAATGTTTATTTTAGTATGATTTTCCAAAAAATATTTAATGTACAGATTCGGCTTAGTTACAATTTTATTATATGTATGGATATGGATACATTTAGAATTCTATTGTATCATTGCAGGTATAATAGGTGTAATAAAGAACGAGTCGGGTGCGCCCATGCGGCGCGCCACACTACGTGTAGCGGGCGGGCGCCGCGTGCCCGTGAGCGGGAACCTGGCCGCGTACCGCGCGCTGCTGCCGCCCGCCGACTACAGGGTGCTGGTGGAGTGCCATGGGTATGAGAATCAGGTATGGATGACTTCAGGACTACTCTATTTATAGTAAAATTAATTAAAAAAAAATTCTAGACCACTCATCCCTAAGTAACAGAAGATGTAAGGTGTATATTTGTATTGTATATGTTGTTGCCCACTACTTGGCTCGTTTAATAAAAAATGTAATGAAATGTGAATTTCTTAGTTTAAAATCTGACAAATTTTACATAAAAATTGTACAAACTTATTCTGCTTTAGCTATTAATGTGATTTTAAAATATGAATGCTCTACTGTTCGGCAACGGCAAGAGACAAATCTCGAATAGGTTATTTAAATTGTCCCATTGTAAATATCCAAAAAAGATCAAATTTTAAAGGTAGAAATGTCTTTTTGCAGTGATTTTGAAATCAATTTACCTTTTTGACTAAATTCAAAAAGAAGGAATAGGTACTGTATCGGTCTGAGTTTTTATGGATTTTTCATTTTTTTTTAAATAATAGTTTTTACCTCTAAAGTAGTCCCATATAAATTTCAAACAACATTTCCATCCTTTTGGTGAAACAAATATACTAAAGCGATTTTAAATAACAAAATAATTATTTAAAGGATTCAAATTAAAAAACTCAATTCTCATTATATTCCAGACGCTGACCTGGCGCGTGGTGGAAGGCCAGGTGAAGCAGAAGGACGTGGTGATGCGGCGCCTCAACGCCGAGCGGCTGCCGGGCGGACAGTTCCAGGATGCCCCTTCACAGAGGAACTCTGACACGGTCTATATTACAGGTGTGTAGGATTTTTATTTATTCACTAGCGACTCACCCTTGCTTCGCTCAGGCTTGTTACATTGTAATTTTTTGAGCCGAACCCTAATTCTTTTACTGAAATAAAAGTAGATTTAGTTACTCCTCATAACATCAACTACCTGCCAGTGAAAGTCCCGTCAAAATCGGCCCAGCCGTTTCGGAGATTAGGCGGAACAAACAGACAGACAGACAAAAAATTTAATTTTTTTTTCTTATAAATACCGTATATTTATTTTTTTCTAAAAAAAACCCCGCAGGCCTGACCCTGGACCACAACAGCTCACCGCTGCCCCTCACCCAGATCCGTGTGTACCCGGTGGAGGCCAAGCGCGGCGTGGCGACCGCCGCCAGCGACGCCGCCGGCCGCTTCGAGGCGCGCCTGCCGCTCACGTACATGGGCCGCGAGGTGCTGCTCACCGCCAGCCGGGACGGGTACATCACTATCAGCAAACATGTTAAGGTATGTCTGTCGTCTGCTGTTAGTGACACGCTCGGTTAAGTGTCTGTCGTTAGTGACACGATAGATTAAGTGCGTCTGCTGTTAGTGACACGCTAGTTTAAGCACATACGCTAATGATATCAATTATATAAATATATCAAATAGTCACACTAAATGAAGAAAACATCAAAATACACATTATTCATACAATTAATGGATTTAGATTTTGTAAAAAGAGAAGTTGTTGAAAAAAATAATTTAAACTATATTCTTTGAGACGTCTAAAACTTAGTCTCTCCCGTGACCATGATTGCCGCAAAGATTTGAAACGTCGCGAAACAAAAATCAAAATAAATCCGCGAGAAAATCCGAAAAGATATTTAATATAATAAAATAGGTTTTGTTAAAAATATATGCTTCTGTTTCACAGATTAACGGTAGCGAAAATGTAACGCCGAATATTGTGCTTAAGCTGGAGGAGGACGGCTACATCCTGGGCATGCCGCGCCTTGTGTTCGTCATGGTGGCAGGTATGTCTGCACACACACACACACACACACACACATAACGTAGCAAACATACCACATTGTTGATCCATTCGATGAATTCAATTTTTTTTACTAACTTTCGTAAATCACCTTACTTTTATATTTAAGTGTGTATAAATACATTTTTAAAATCATTGGTGAATGTTTATGATATAGATCTTGGAATTATTTTTATCGACGTTCTTTATTAAATTTACAGTTAAAGTTTACATTGTGAGTTTTGAATTATAAATAATTTAAAAAATTGCATTATAATATATTTATTAATTTTGTCTTTTTCAACTAACGTGAAGGTAGATTAAGGCCTTTTGACTACAAAATGATTTAAACTAATTAACATTAGCTATTTTGTTATTCTAACGTTCAATCTCAAAGCACAAATCTATTAAAACTAAAGTCCACTTTATAGAAATCTGGTCAATAAAACAAAACCTGCCCATGACCACGGCTGGTGCAAGCTAGTTGATATGTAGGGAATATTATTTAGCCAATTACAAATTCAATTCTTTTGTTAATGGCTTCGAAGCGTGCCAGTTGAGCACAGATTATTTCAACGTGACGTAGAAACCCCTTACGAATACACATGTTTAGTCCCGTAGTGTCATTATTAATAATAAATATAAATAATAATATAACCTGAAACGCAGGTTGTTAATCTAGTTTACGTAGATTCCAAATTGTATTATAATGTCCTTGGTCATTTATTTTATTTGTATATATATATACGAATAAATAAATAATATATATATATATATATATATATATATATATATATATATATATATATATATATACTATTCTTTATTGCACTTATATGTAAAATACCTCTGTATTACTCTCTAGTAACAAACAATAAAAAATTAGTTGGCAAAGGTGGACTTATCTCTAGAAGAGATCTCTTCCAGTCAACCTAAGTGAGTTAGAGAGATTTATTAAGAATATTTATAATAACTTTATAAAAGTATTTCAATAAAATTATTATCATTATTTATTATTATATTATACAAATAAAACCTCCCCTCTTCCCCCCATCCCACAGGAGTGGTGGGCGTGCTGTTGGTGACTCTGGGCGCCTGGTGCCTGAGCTGCCGGCGCCGCGCGCGCGACCAGCGCAGACAGTACGCCTTCTCACAGCTGCCCTCCGACGACAAGCGCCCGCTGTGTGAGGACGCCGCATTTGGTAATACCACTAATCAATGTTATATCCCTCTACACTATATGTTATGTCCCACTACACACTATATGTTTTGTTCCACTACGCCTTCTCACGACTGCAGTATGATGACATGCGCCCACTCTGTGAGGACGCAGTATAATATGGTAATACACACTTTGTTATGTCCCACTATACACGATATATTTTTGGAAACTAGAATATGTTAAAGAAAATATTTTTTTTAGAATACATATCTACAGATATAACACCTATAAATTATATAACGCCTATAAATAATAACTATTGTTTTATGTCTTATAAAATCCCGTGGTTTAACCATTATAAAAAATTAGACTATTTTTCTACAAAAACGTCTCAGTAAAAAATTGTCAACTTTAAAGAACAATAATAATAATATTTACGTTTCCAGATATTGTGAAAAAGCCGTACTACGACGAGGATGACCTACCGCCATCAGAGACGGACTCAGAAGAAGACATAGTCCTCCTCAGTACTGACAAAAACTGGGTTCAAACGGAACAAAACTAAGACTTCTAATTACAATTACACATGGCTTTATTATTTATAAACACTCAATCTATTTGTTAATACTCCATTCTTTTTTGCTTATGTACTAGAGACTTACACTCGCTTCGCTCGGGTGAGTCTCTAGGTACGTTTTAATTTTTTTGAGCGGAACCTTCATTGTTTAAAAAAATAAAAGTAGCCTAAGTTACTCCTTATAACATCAGCTATCTACCGGTAGAAGTCCCGTTAAAATGAGTCCAGCCGTTTCGGAGATTAGCCGGAAGACACCGGCAAACAAACAGACCAAATTTTTAAAAATTGTGTTTTTCTTATGAGTATCGTTTATACTTTCATATGCATTTAGTAAAAAGCTTGTTATTTTGACATTACAAACAGACACTTCAATTTTATTTACCTGTATGGGTTATAATATTTTTCACAAACGGATTCATGGAGTATATTATAGTCTACGATTAATTAAATAATCTATTCCTTTTGGAGCAATGGTAGTCGTACCATTCATGTAAAAAAAGCATTTTGACATATTTCAAATAAAAAACACTATAGCTTTTTTTTAAATACTTTCCAATTTTTAAATTAAAAAAATAATATATTATAATCATTTCCGATAGTTGACTTCTTTTAACATATTATGTATTTCCTTTTCATATTTAATAATATTATTATTTAATTGTTCCTTAGACATTATATAACGTGAAATTTTACTGTAGTAATTGATTTTTTACTAAAATTTCATAGTATTATTGTATGCGTCAAAATTAACAGTATTACATATTTTGGATAATAAGGGAGAAATTTTATAGATCTTTATACATTTGATAGTAATTTTTTATAATAAGATATATATAAAATGTAAACAATTTACAATTACCATTTCGTATTTGCTTTTCTTTATATGCATTTAGCAGCCGATGAATTTATATTGTAATTTGAAATATAATAAAGCCTCATTCGGCTAATTAAAAAAAAAACAAGCAATAATTTAACATTTACATACATTCCTATTGTATTTCTATTTAGTGATATTATCATAAACGCTACAAACGCCTACATTAAGCAAATTCGACTTTATAACTACTTTAACAAGGTTTAATTTTAAAATGATGTACGAAAAATGTGCCTTTAGATATTCAACAAATTTATATATTATATAAAAATAATGAAAGTGAATTAATAAATCACGAATTTATTGTGTGAATCTCGTAACATAATTGTTAGCAATAATATATAGCTTTATATAGTTTTGTATTTTACAGTGTTGTATTTATTATATCTCTTCACATTTGAAGTCAGAGTTTAGAAATTTTTCATATCATTATAACTAATGTAGCTTGATTATAAATTATTTATATTGAAATTTATATGTACACACATACATTGGTGCTATTGTGCAGTTTATATATTTTATTAAGTTATTTAATGTAATTTTGTGATAGTTCTATTAATATAGGAATTAAAAATAACTACTGCATTTTTATTTTACTATATTTCATTTTTACGATCTTTGACACATCTGATATGTCTAAAGCCGGACATTCACGGACCAACTAAGGCTAAACAAGTTGCTCATGTCACTAGTTATTCAAGACCTTTCAAAACATCTATCCTGAGATTAATTGGCGAAGAAAAGTGGCGGCTAATCTCACTGAGATTAGCGTATTAGATGACATGGTGCACGATTGTACGCGCAGACACAAGAGCACTATTCCTTGCACTCTTAAATTCCGATGGGAGAAGAATTTTTGATTATAGAGGTTTTTTATACAATACAAATTTTGTTAAATGGTTAAATTATTGGTTATTCCTAGGAAATGATCACATCATTCCCAAGGTCCAAGTCTTCTATGTATAGTATGAATAGCAATTTAGTTTCATAGGTGAATGTTGTATTAAATTAATCATGCTATTATCATCTAGATCAGCTATACTCAACCTGCGGCCCGCGGGCCGCATGGGGCAACATCAAAAATCGCATTATAACATATCTTTATTAAAACAGTAACTACATCGTTAACTTGGAATTACGTTTTCATTAAGACCTAAATAACTTTTGCTTGCGGCCCTCGACACCATGACTGAAACGTGTTTGTGGCTCCTATAAAAAAAGGTTGAGTATGGCTGATCTAGATGCATCGTTGCAATTTCATTTAAACCGCGTTTCCATTTAGTCGATACATGTTATTAATGCGAATTGACCAAAAAGTAGCACTATATTATAGGCTCTTAACTTATACACATTTTTATTACGCATTTATATTTTAAATAATTTCCTTTAAAACTTACTGTTTCTGTAATAAAATATTATAAAAACCTTGATAAATAAAACTAAACAAAATATATTCTATTCTAGTACAAGTATCCAATTTCCGAAACAAAATTATCTATGAAACGTCATGTGTTTCTCATGACTTTTTGTGATTATTTATTGTGAAGCTGGTTATAGCAATAAAATAAAAATATTGCAATATATTTGCACGTTTAAAATGAATATTTTAAACAATACGTAAACGTGATACGTTTAGAGCTGTAAAAAATATAAATAGCAATAAACAGTGACACGGTAATGGAAAGAACAAATAATAACTTTGGCGACATGAATCGAAGAGCCGGAGAGTTTTTCAGACGCTTAAATAGGCTAACAGACGGTCCTCTCACGAGAAAGAAACTGGTTATATTAATTCTTGTATTAATTTTTCTTTTACTTTACATCGGACCGACGATTATGGATTTATTTTTGAAGAGAGAGGGCTCCATAACAAGTAACCAAAATGTTTGCCACCGCAACTTTTTGAACCCTTTCCAAGACGCTCTCTACGAATACGATGCCTACTTAAGATTAGAAACTTCTGCTACAATTTCGTCTTTGAGCCACAATTATGTGCCTTATGTAGGTAATGGCTTATTGGGATTAGCCTTAGAACATGACTCACATATAAACATCAAATATGGAAGAACATTATCATTGCCTGTATTTTACCATCCTTTATATATAGTCGAGGATTTAGATATGAAAGAGTCGACATTAGTGGATTACAATAATGGTATCGTGCACAGATTTCAATGTAGCAGTACAGGTTTACATGTTTCATATCAATATTATGCACATAGAACTATCCCTTCTTTATTTGTTCAAGAAATTATGGTAACTAACCCCTTAAATGTACCTAAAAGCTTACATTTGACAGTACCTAGATTATCTGATTGGCCTACGTCTGTGAAACAAACAATAAAACTTCATCAAGGTGTTGATGCTAAGGAATATGAGGTTGTAACAGGTATGATAGAATTGCCAGAAAGTGAAAATGTAATAGCCGTATCAGTTGTGTGTAGAAAAGTTAGGAATGTCATTCAAGTTGAAGCTAAAGATGTTTTGTATCTTTTAGTTCTAACTACAATACAATACAGTAAACCCATTAAAAAAATAGATTATGCTAAACAAAAAGACGTTGTGGAAAAGAAAGCTATTGAAGAAATGGAAAAGGTTATATCATTAACAGGAGACACAGTTGCTGTGAGAAATCTAAGGGATAACCACGCAAGAGTATGGCAAGGTCTTAGGTATACAGGCTTTTATATATCAGATTCAAAAGCTGACGGTGTTATCAATGGAGATCAAATTAATGCTACAATTTATGCGATCCTTTCACAAGTCAGAAGTTATGAGCATGAAGAGCATATCAAACAAACCACTAAATCTGAAATTCTCCGAACACTCACATATTCTGAAGGATGCTATGAAGGTCATTCAACGTTAGATGCCTTTAATTTATGGAAACCATTAAATAGCCTCACAAATTTAAATAATGTAGCAAGTATTTGGCTTTTGACACTAGAAAAACAGGGGTGCCACAACCTACTAAAAGCTGGGGCTAGTGGGGTGAACCAAGCTATGATACTTAGTTTTGGAAGCTTGAGATTTAGTAACCAACATCTTGAATATAATATTCATCCTTCAAAACTGCATCGAGACTTCCTTTTCCGTAGAGTAAACTATGGAAACATGACACATGTCAACATAAGTGTAATATTACAAGAAGACAATAAGGCAGCTATATTTGTAGCTTTAGATCGTTCTGATAAAACATATTATGCCTGTGACGCTGGTTGCTTGGATTCTCCGGTGCAACTAGGTCCTTATAGAAAATATTTCCCAGTGAAATTAACAGAACCTTTAACTGCTCTATTATATATAACAGCAGATAAACAACATATGGAAGACTTACGACATGCTATTCATGTGCATGAAGTAGTAGAGGCACCTGCTCATGAACACCATGTCATTGCATTACACAGACATGGCCACAGTCTCGGTGGACTCAACCCATTGTTTTGGGTCTCCATTATACTTTTAATAGTTATTTTCCACTTATTCCTCTGTAGGATTATAATGAACGAGTTTTGTGAGAGTGGCACAAATATTAGCTACAAAAGATTATATAATAAAGCTTGAATTGCATTATTATTGTGCTTCAGTATTTACCGATTGACTATTTAGCTGATATGAATTTATTCAACAACTAGTTGGCTTATTCAACACTGCCATGTGAGAATAATTGGTGTACACAATTTTCTAGAAGTACCTATTGCTTAATTAATTTTAAAAGTGTCAATTATTTTAGTTTATTTGTTTTAAATGTACCAATGACATCACACCAATATTTAGGATGTGTTGAGTATAATGGTGATTTGTAAGCCTTTGAAAGACTTTGCGACTTCATAAAACTAAAATAAAAGACTATCTACTGAGCTGTGTACAATATCATATTTCTGTATGAATGATGATGCTTCTGTTTAGTTAGAATTTATTATGAATATACATATAATTTATTTGTTGCAATTTTTTATAATTAAATAAAATTGAGGCATTGATATGTAAATATTGTAACTTTCTTGATCTCTATGGAGCTTAATTTTTACAACAGTTTACAAGAAAAATAGGGTAATCTAACAATTATTACATACATTTTATTTATTTTAATTCCATACATACATATATTATGTATAATAATTAATATATAATTGTAAAAGAATATGGTAGAAAATGCTGGACACACATTTTTTCCTAAAATTGTATTTTTTATGCCAAGAATATTGTTCTCCTCGCAGTAACTTAGGCTCGCTTAGTTTTATTATTCCTTAATGCTCTGTACAATACTTTCTTACATTTACGCGAATGTTTGACATTTTAAATAAAACTATCTTTTCCGAATTTTTTCGCGAATTTAATTTGGTTTTTGGTTTCGAATGCTTTACAGCAATCGTGGTTTATAGCACTGGAGACTCGCTATAAATCCGCGAAAAAATCCGAAAAGATAGTTTTATTTTAAATTTATATATTTATTATTTTGTGTCACAATGAAAATACTGATAGTACCGAACAATGGTGATACTTTGATTCAAATATTTTTTATCTATCTGCTTTTAGCATTGGTTTTACCAGATAGTTAACATGTTATCATTTAGTTATTATTTATTGAATAAAGTCTTCTAAATTGTAAATACTTAATATGTGTATGCTCTATGATATAGTTATACCTATTGTTATAAGAATGTGGTGTATATTTTTAAATAAAGCAGCAAATGTATGTTGAATCTAAAAATTGTTTTTTTTTTGTGAAATTTTTGAAGTAAAAACTTCTCTAAATGGGCAGGTTTGGATGAGGAGTAAATTGGTCACGTGAGGTGTGAACGCTAACACTCAAGAGTGCCAATAGATGTCAAAACCAGGTAAATGTAATCAGTTTTATTTACAAATTTTAATTGATAAAATAAAATAGCTATTATTACAGGAAACAGAGTTACAGGGTTTTCATATAAAATTAACATATCCCTCTTGTGTGCGTGTGTGTGTGCCTCTTGGCAAAGGCCCCCTCCGACTGTCTCTATTTGACACTATCTAGCGCCACTCGTGTCCACAGTGGCCCTAGAGTTAGACGGATTTCATCCTCCCATCTCCTTATCAGACAAATTTTAATTTAAGATCAAACAATTTGAATATCCAAAAATAACGACTGTTTGTTTATAGTTTTAAATTTTCACTTCTGTCGGTAATCCTCATGATTGCTTTTTATAGGTATACTAGCGACTCTAGGTACTCTCTCTCTAGGTACGTTTTAAATTAAAATGGATATGGTATGTTATCCTTAAGAGATAGACATATGCCATCGCGGACTTTTCTATAGACCTATATAAGATACACAATTCCACCATACATTATTTTGTTATATCTCAAAGCGTTTTCGTTGAAAGCTTCCAGACGTCTTATTTTTTCCGACACCTCCAACAAATATCGTTATATTTTAGCCAAGGTATACAAAAACTTAACAAATTATAAAACCTTCCTCTTGAATCACTATCTATTAAAAAAACCGCATCAAAATCCGTTGCGTAGTTTTAAAGATTTAAGCATACATAGGGATATAGGGACAGAGAAAGCGACTTTGTTTTATACTATGTAGTGATATTTTTTAATTTAAAGTAACCTACATTCGAATTACTAAAATAATATATTTGTAGTAGTAGTAAAAAAATACAGAATATGTATTTGTTTAGCTTCATAGTAAATTATATCGATGTCGATTCAATGCTTCTATAACAATAACTAATCAATTATGACGATGAGAAGTACCTACATACATACATAAATATATTGATTTTTATTTCAAACCAAAGTAACTTTGTACCAATTTAAAGCTCTATTTTCTAAAGAATACGTAAAGTATCAATTTTTACCGATTTTAACAATTCTTTTCTTTTAATATATATGGTGAGGTGGTATAATTACATTTAAGGAAATTTTGCAAAAAAATAAATAAGAAAAATATTTTTTATCCATCCTCGTGCGTTTTTTATAAAACAATATAACCAGCTGTATCAAAGAATTTAAACTAGCAAAAAACAGATTTCAATAACTAAATAAAACCCCAATGGGTCCAGGGTCACACTAATATTAATGGTTTTTAAGAGAAAACTTCTACCCATTGTGACATTTGCGTTCGAGATAGCTTATAACAAATCAAATTGTAAAAATTAATCTATACTAATATTATTATAAAGTGGGAGAGTGTGTTTGTTTATTTTGTTTGTTTGTTAGATAGCGCTAATCTCAGGAACTACTAATCTGATTTGAAAAATTTCTTTTTCATTAGATAACCCGTTTATTGAGGAAGGCTATAGGCCTGAATAAAATTCTGAGTCGAATACATAATTTTTTTTGGAAAATCTTATTGAAATAGTCATTATTATCGAAACAGAGGCCAAGTCTATACTTTTTAGATTTTTTGTCTGTGTCTGGATCATAATTTCTAGACGCATCAAGAAAACCACTGGACAGATTTTAATGAAATTTGATAGTATGGTAGCTGGGTATCCGGGTCAACATATAGAATACTTTTTACTGCAGGAAAATATCACAGTATCTCTAAGTCTGAGTAATCTAAACTAAACGTTAAAACGTAACTAGGGACGAACCCAAACGAAGCAAGGGTGAGTCGCTAGTAAAGTTATTTATTACATTAATATTAAAAAAAAAACAATCTTAATATTTTTCTAGAAATATATTTACAAAATAATTATCTTTTAACATTTTCAAGGCACATAGACAGAGTAAACATTGATTACATCACAATTTATAGGCGACAGAGAGAGGCACTAAATTACTTCGCAAACAAATTGTACAATAAAACTATTTCATTGTGTTGCAGTGTACTTACTGTGGAGCATAAAATTGAATTTGAAACGAATCACTGATATTATTGATAACAACTACCTACTTACAATTAGAATATATATCACCTTGGCTTTCAGTATTATTTAAAAGATTTTCTTTCAAAAATAGCAGGCACAAGGGCATAGCTATCCGCCATTTTAATTTTTGAAGTTATACTTCTTTTGGCACGTTTGGAAAAATTATGAGAGTAAAATTTTTACGATGCGCGCGCACACCGACAGCCAATGAGCGACATGAAGTTAGCTGAAATCCTTTTACAAACAGAGAGTTGTGACATACGGGATGAAATCTTTAGCTATTTTGTCCTGTTACACCAAATAAGTAAGTATAACTTTTTAAATTGTAAGTAAGGATAGAAGACACAAATCCTATGAACAATATGGCGCCATACAGTGTCACGTTTTAGAGATATTTTGTGATAGTTTATTATATGAGATAACGTCATACTCATACAAACATAATAACAAGTTATTATATATTTAAATAATCAAAATAGCGGCGGATACCTAATGTCAGCTTCCAAGAATTGTTCGAACCCTTTTTCCAATATTAATATATAACATATATTTTTGTTTATTACATTTAAATATATTATTAATATATATGTAAAATGTATATGCATAAAATATATATTTCATTGAGTATTGTATTTATGTTATTTAATTACTTAATAATTATGGAGAAAACTCCCTAAATCGTCTACAGGATTTTAAGGAAACGTATTAATGTAGATTTTCCCTAGCGGCACTTTTTGGAACTAACGACAGCAGTTTACCAATAAATATACTAATTAATCATCTGTGGATATTGTATCTATACTTTTAATTAGTATTATACAGAAAACATAATACAAATATATAAGACAAAATAAAGGCCTAGCCAATAATAGCCTAGTGATATTTTCATGTGCGAATCATTTCCAACAGGTTTACCCTTGTGTTACAGTGAAGGAAAACATCGTAAGGAAACCTGCATGTCTGAGAGAACCTAGCAAGTTTTCAAAAGACATGTGAAGTCCGCCAACCCGCACTTGGCCAGCGTGGTGGACTATGGGCTGATCCCACTCGTATTGAAGGCCCACCCCCAGCAGTGGGACGTCAAAAATGGCTGAATACAGACAAAATAATAATTATTTAATTATCAGCCGAAGTTAGTTCTGCAACTTGCCGGTAGGGAATATACTCACCGTGAATTGAAAAATAACTAATATAAAGCGTATTAATATAGAAGCATCGCATTAAAAATGAACTTACAATAAAGTTATAAAATAAAGGTACAAATCAGAATGGTCCGGTATGAATTAAACTAAGCTAGATTTAAAAAAAAACTATTTTGGTGTCAAGACGTAATAATAATTAAAAAGGTGGCATTTTGAGATTTTTTTAATTGTGCGTTTCATGTTTCTTAAATGTTTAACATTATTCAGCCACAATTAATACTTTTTACATTATAATATATTTTTTTAATATAGTTTTTATTATATATTTTTTTCTTAACTGCATATTTATAAAAATCATTACCTATATTAAACTGTTATATTTTTCAATTAATAAATAAAGTAACAGCATTTATTGTTTTTTTACGATATAAATAAGATCTAAACCTCTTATATTGAAGGATAGTGTTGCCAACTTACGAAAATATATTATAAAATTAATTCGATGTTTTAATTACTTTATGATTATTTATTTGGGGCTTTGTTATTTCTTGCTATTACCAAAGGAACGATATTAGCGCTTATTGTTTAATGGAAACATTCTGCCTTCTCTATCTTTATGAAGGCACACAATATAAGAACAAATCAAATTTCTTTTTTAAATATTTTGTTTTAAAACTTAACTATACATTTGGTATATAAAAAAAAGCTATTTGCCGAAATTTAGAGTTTAAATTACCTTTCATACATTGTATGGAACACATTTTTTTATTAAGGTATAGCATTATCTATACATTAAAAAATAATGTTTCTATAATTTAAATACATATGAATAATGTAAAGGTTAAAGAGATCAATCGATATTATGTGACATATTTAAATTTGTATTTTCCATTTAGATGATTATAAAATTGCCTAAAATCCTATTATACGAGTTTTAATACATACAAAATATAACGAGGGCTAACATTTCTGGCGGCACCAGTTGGCGCCACTGGCGAGTGAGGCCCTATCGCTGTTGTTGAAAAGTATTTATAAGTGCAGAAAGGCCATGAATTTAATATAATAATTATAATTGTTAGCGCGAAAACAGCTCTATCAGGATTTTTAATAATTAATCATAGCCAAATAAATAAAATATTGACTTTTACTGAACTTTTCTTTAAACCAAATAAGATTTATTGTCCGCCATAATTAATGAGGAATGGCACAATTAAATATAAATATATTAAATAAATATATGCTGGGACATTAACACAAAACACCATCTAGTTCCATGGTAAGCTATTAGCCCTCCCACAACGTGCGTTCACCTTGTCGTGGTGGGGGGGCTCAGTAGTGCCCGGCAATATAGCCGGGCGCGAAGCCAAGAAACGCACAGGGAGGTGGGTGGCGGCCCTCTTCGGGGGGCGGTGTACCATGCGGGTTGCTCCTGGTACTTTTCTGATAGCAGAGTGGACCTTGGAGCAATCCCATGGTTGTTGTGGTCTGCTTCGGCAGACCTGCCGTCGGGGCGTCGTAGTGGAATGCGCAAGCGATCCTGCGACGCCCCATTAAGACGGGGGAAGGTTTTGTTGGGTTTTAGTGGGAAGTACTGGCTTCGCCGGTGAGTCCCACACTTCGTGCGAAATGCATTTCCCAACGTTAAAAAAAATTGGTAAGCTACGAGGCTTGTGTTATAGATACCAGATAGTTGATACACTACACATATATAACTTTAAATACATACATATTATAAATATAAACACCCATGACTGGAGTACAAACATTCGTGCTCATCACACAAACGAATGCCTCCAGCGGGACTCGAACCCGCGACCGCTGGCACAGCAAGTAGGGTCACTACACACTGAGCCAAACGTGTCGTCGACAATCTTTACAATAATCATAAATATTCGTGAAAATCATTGATAAAAAGCTCGCAAACACTGCACATTCAGTACAATTTCACATTTGTGGAGACCTCACTCTACACTAGCGCCCTGTCAAGGAGAATTTAAGCGCGATAGAACTTATCGAGTCACATTGTTGATTTTTGAACTATTTTATACAAAAATAATAATATTATTTAAAAAAAATGGCGGTTCCACGCATTTATTAGTTATGTAAATAATTCTTGTTCTAAAACGACTATATTTCGTAATAATAATAATATTTATTATTAAAGGCTTAAATTTCTAAGGCACGCTTAGCGGTAGTCGGATATGACACCTTTTTGAACTTTAAATTAAATAAAATTGTAGTTGCTAGTTTCATCTTCTCTGTAAAACTAAATATGTTGGAATTGTTACACTAACGAGATGTACTCGACAGCTCCTGTAATGAGACAATAAAAAAATTATGATTAAATAAAAATAATAGAAAATATGAGTACTTCTGTAGGTTATGGGCACTTTTTATAAAAAAAAAAAAATATGTTGAGACATTAACACACAGCACCATCTAGTTCCACGGCAAACTACGAGGCTTGTGTTATGGATATCAGATAGTTGATACACTACACATATATAACTTTAAATACATACATAATATTATAAATATAAACATCCATGACTGGAGTACAAACATTCGTGCTCATCACACAAATGAATACCCCCAGCGGGACTCAAACCCGCGACCGCTGGCACAGCAAGTAGGGTCACTACAAACTGAGCCGAACGGGTCGTCATTGAATTATGTTTTAAATAACTAGGATAGGATAGGAGAGATAGTAAAAAAATATTAATTTTTATCGATTTAAATAGGGAAACAATATTTTATTATTCATATAGTCACAGACAGATGGTGTTAAGATAAAATTTTATTTACAATCAAATATTATAATGGTAAAAGACCTTAACACTTATCGATTAAGTTGTTTCAAAATTATTTGGAATTGAAAAACTAACTAAACTTCGTCGTCGTCAAACTAAACAACGTCGAAGTATCAGGTATATGATAGTGGTTTAACTGCCTCGGTGGTGTAGTGGCTAGCATGTACGACTGCACACCCGGAGGTCCTGGGTTCGAGTCCCGGGTCGGGCCAAGTTTACTTATTGGGTCTTTCTGTATAGTAAGTCTCAGTAACAGCCCGGAGTTGGGAAATTGGCGGTGCTTCACCCTCGTGCCTCGGAGAGCACGTAAAGCCGTCGGTCCTGCGCCTTAACTCTCACTGGTCGTGTCTCGCGTCGTCCCACCGGAGTATGAGAGTGACAGGAATAGAGAGTGCATGTTGTGTCTGCGCGTACACTTGTGCACAATAATATCTCCTGCGCAGTTGGTTAGTCTCAATGAGATTGGCCGCCGTGGCCGGAATCGGCTAGAAGAACATCATCATCATGATAGTAGTTTTTTCTAAAATAGTTAAATAGAGTGGGCTTTTATCCTAGTTTATCTTAGAAACTCGTAAAAGTCTATATAAAAATAAAACAACACGAAAGCGATATTGCGACGTTGTATATATTATACAATATACATAAATGCATTTCCTAACTAAAAAAAATGTGTCGCACCGCGCGAAGTGATTACTGACCTCGGGGCGGGCTACAGGTCCTCGTAGAAGGCGACGCGCGTCTTGGTGGAGCCCTGCTTGAGGCGGCGCAGCGTGGTGTACTTGTCGTCGCCGGCGCGCGCCGCCGCCTCGTGCAGGCGGTCCAGCGTGGCGGAGTGCGCGCGCGCCACGCGCAGCACCGAGAACTCGCAGCGCAGCGAGTCCAGCTGCTGCTGCAGGTGCTTCGACTTGGCCAGGTACTCCGTCCTGAGGGGGGGGACCGCGCTTGTACACATATACACTGTGCGTGTGTGTTTAATTGAAGTTGGGGAAAAAGTGCCGTTAAATACTATACTTAGGCACCTTGACCGATATACGCTGTGCGCGTGTGTGTGTGTGTTTAATTGAAGCTAGGACAAAATGGCTGTTAATTACTATATTTAGGTGTACCTCGAGATGCCAACCAAAGTGAGGATAAATAAATAGTTATTATATAATTTATTTATTTAATCAAAAACTTGTCTAGGTACTCCACTCTCTCTCTCTCTCTCAGGATACTCGGGTGTGTAAGGATATGTTTTATTGAAAATCTATTTCAATGCGTGTGTGTGACTATGTGTGTTCGTGACATGCGTGAAACGCGTGCTAAAATAGATGAACAGACAGACATCTAGAGACACACCCGGGCGATATAGATGAACCACGCTAGTGATAATAATTTATTTAATTAATTAGGTATTTCACTTTGAAAACATTTCTTCCGTTTATTATTTTCTTAATTATATTCATCCCTATTTACACCCCCCTAATGGTAGATTTCCGGGATAAAAACTATCCTATCTCTTCCCCAGGGCTCAAAATATTTTCTTACCAAATTTCATCTAAATCGGTTCAGTAGTTTCGGAGCCTATTCGATATAAACAAACAAACAAACAAAAAAAAAAATTTTTTTCTCTCTATAATATTAGAATAGATGTCTCACTGGTTATGACAAAGATATTTAGATTCAAGATTAAGGTTTATTTACTTAAAAAAAAAAGATATGTACATATATTTTCGGGATATTTTTATCATTGTAAAATATTTCAAATATTAGGTCTAAACCAATTAGCATATAACAGTTTGTATATTTGTTAACATAATGGCTTCAGCATTTTTCATTAAAAACTGAACGCAATATAAATTGATAAATAATCTATACATATAATAAAGCAGTAACTTGCGAAATCTGTACACGAAATATTTTTTAAAAACTATAACTAACGTATTATGTATACAATATAGACCCCAAAACAATAGTTATTAAAACATTTTGTCTGGGTATCTGTATGTCTGTTTGTGTGTTCGCGTTTCACTCAAAAAGTACTTAATCGATTTGGACTAAATTTTGTGTAATGATAACTTATTATTCGGGTCAATTTAATATATATATTTTTTACAAGAAAACCTTTAATTCCCATGGGAAAACACAATAACTGGTCCTATCGAGTCGTGCTTAGACATTTATTTGGCTAACGCTGACTAAACCTTAAGAGATACATCAAAACAATGTACTAGAGAATTGTAGGTCTTAAAAAAGCCTACAAAAAAGTCCACAATAGAATAAATCTTTCTGCTAAGGTACACACACACAATAACTATTCATATCTATTTAAAACGTATCTAGAGACGCACTCGAGCGAAGCAAGAGTAAGTCGCTAGTTCAGTACAAAAATGTGTGTTATATACACAGTTTAAATCCGAACCAAAATTTACAACGTCAACAAATATTGCACGTTTCGATACGCAAAGCGCAACAAAAATTTGATTCTAAAACGTGTACATGTATATTGTATCGATTCTTTAACTAATACACTATTAGATTGTTAAAATGAAATATGTTTGAAATTAATAATTATTAACACTATTTACCGTCAATAGACTTATTAATATAATGAAAATGATATAGACTTGTGAGCGAGCGCAGCTTACTTGCCGGCAAAAGCGAACTGACTTGATTTTTATGAATTAAAATAACAATGAATTACACGTGTCAAGTAAAATGGTGAATAGTAATACGAGTACATCACGGTTGCACTATACATATATTTTATAGTAAAATATAGATTTTTATATACATATGTCATAAATACATAAAACGTATATCCTTACCAAGTATATATAATGACAAACAAACAGCGACCACAACTCACCTCTCCTTCTCGATCTCTAAGGACAGGCGCTGCACGTGGTCGTCGTCCATCACGAGCTGGTAGGAGTTAAGCTCTTCCTCCACACTCCCATTCAGGAGCGCATCCCGCCGACTCATGGGCTCCTGGTACCGAACACTGTTCATTGCTTATTAATTTGCTCGTTCACTCAATTAACATTCACAACACTCTCGTTCATCATTCACTCAGCCATTCATTCAATTTACTTACCGCGCACGGTAAAGGCAACATCTTCTCCATCTTCTCCATTCTCTACTCACCTTTCCTTCTCTATCTCCATCGAGAGCCGGTGCACGTGGGGGTCGTCGTCGGGCACCAGTTGGTAGGAGTTGAGTTCTTCACCGGACGTGCCGTTCTGGAGAACTTCTCCGCCGAGCTCCGCTGGTAGAGAACACGTCGACGGGAACATTGACGATGGCACTGTCGATGACGGCTGGAATTGAATTTTATTTTATTGATATTGACTCATTTAAGCGCAGTGTTGTTTGGTGCAATAATTAGGTACTGGGTTTATTTTATTATAAGCAAAATATTATTTCCAAAAATTTAAAAACGGGTTCTATTATATTAATTTTTATTAACAATTTTATTATTCCTCATAATTCGTTTGTGTATCGCCAGTCGCCGTATAGCCAAGCCCGCTTGAGAAAAGTTCACATTGTATAAAATATAGGAATCCTGATATGATAAGTATAAAATGCACGTCGCTAGATAACTACACACTTCACAATTATTTAGTCTATCTATCTATCAATTGATAGCGTGGAGACTAAAAAAAAAACTAAAATAGACTAAATAAAATTTCACTTACTCTTTTTCCGTCCTACTCTCTTTCTCTCTCTCTCTCCCTCTCTCTCTCTCTTGATAATAAAAAATATATAAAATAAAACCAAAGATAAATTTCTTCGAATATACAATTATAAGTGGCAATCAAAACCCAATAAGGATCCTACTTCAGCGATTTCAGTTTCAGACATGTTCAGCGATTCTATTTCTCTTCACTTAAACGTAAATCTCTGAAGCATCGTCATCACTTACAGGTGGCGGCAAAGACCCAGTGGACGTCCTGCTGAGGAAGTTGAGAAGTTTCTCCTTTGCCTGCTTCTCCGCCACCCTCGCTGCGACCAGTTCCGCCTTCAATCTCTCCGCTTCTGCTGCTCTCTTCTCAGACTCCTCCACCAGGCGGGCTGTTAGGAACTCAGCTTCGCGGGTTTTTCTTTCGAGATGTACCTGGAATTTTAAATATTTTAGTATTTAATTGATATTTTAAATTCAATTCATATTTTAAATGGAATAAATAAAGTAGAAATACATTAATTTATATTTTATTCGGTTCACACTTAACCGATTTTTTATATTGTTTATGACATTATGTAGAAAATGCTAAATTTATAATTTGCAAGGCAAATAAAAAATTAGACTTTTAGATGAAAAAAAAACCTTAACTAAAAGCTACCTTCAAAATTCAAATATAAGAAAAAAAACAGACACAAATTAAATATAACACAAAATAAATATGAAATTTACTTATGAGCCTAATCAATCATGTTTGAATAAGATATATTTCAATTGTTTTCAATTTCTCTCTCTCTCTCTCTATTTAGCAGAAGAGAAAGAGAACGATGTTCCAAACATCTCCATCTCTCTCTTACCTTCTCCTCCTCAGTCTTGATAGCAGACAGCCTCAGCCTGGCGTTCTCTCTTTCCGCATCAGATGCCTTCTGCGCGAGGAGAGACGCCTCCTCCTCCGCCACTCTGCCCTTCTCTGCTAGCAGTTCTGCTGTTTCTTCTGAACGACGCTGTAAAGGAAAAAAGTCTTTATTACTTTAGATTTTAGGTACAAAATATATTGAGTTGGTAAAAGTCAAATTCATCATGCTTTTTATAGTTACAGTGTTATTTTCGGAGTTATTTTAATGTTGGTTATAATTTAATTCATATGATTTTTTGTAAAAAAATGATTATATATATATATATATATATATATATATATATATATATAATTTAAAATATATAATTATGATGATTAATAATCATTAAAAAAAAGTGTCGTGACGTTTGAAATATTACACATGTTTCCGTCTAACGCTATTCGCCAAGTGTGCCGCTTGCTGTACGATAAGGAACTTTGTTCCAAAAACCTATATATCCACCATAGCTTAATTTCAAATATCAAATACATATGTAAATCAAACAATAGGCAATATAAACAAAGTGTAAGTTTGTTACACAAGGACAATCCTGGTACAGCAATTTTAGTAGGAATCGCGCTACAAAATTTTCACACGGCGCCAGAACACGAGGTGCAACAGCAACCAGATCTCATTAACATCATACTTTCTTAGCTTTACGCGAATAAATAAAATTATCTTTTCGGATTTTCCGCGGGTTTTTTTCGATGTTTCAAATGCTTTACAGTAATTATGGTCGCAGGAGACAATCGATGTTACTTTCGAAATATAGGAAAGTCAGATCAGTCAGTCGGTAGACATTTAATTAGTTGTAATCCCATAAATATTATAAATGCGGAGATTTGGATGGACGGACGTTTGTTACTCAATCACACCAGAACGGCATTACGGATTTAATTGAAATTTGGCACAGATATAGATTATAGTCTGGAATAGTACATAGGTGACTTTTTATCCCGGAAATATTTATGATTCCCGTGGGTTATACATACTTATCGTTAAAACGAAATATAAATAGTCTGTAATAAATATATTCGTTACCAATGCCTCGTTGGCCAGCCGTATCTCCTCCTGGTACTGCAGCAGGCGCTGCTCCATGGCGGCGCGCTCGCGCTCCGCCGCCTCGCGCAGCTGCTTCTCGCGCGACAGCTTGTTGCGCTCTATCTGACGACGCTGGAAACGAATTGGGAATATCTGTTACATTATATAATCTATACATATATATAAATAAATAAAATGTGTGCGTCTCGGAACGTCGGAAGAAGAAGTGATAACTTAAACTAATCTAAATTGAACTGTTTAATATTGAAATTGTTTAACTTAAGAAAAGCTTAGATTATTACTTACATTTTATGTATATTAATACGATTATGTAAGGAAAGGTTATTTATTAATAAAATCTGTTATTGATTATAAAATATATTTTATTCTATATACATGTATACAGATAGCGCTGTGGGTTAGAGTGAGAGAGGTGAAGCCGGCCTACCGCTGCCGTATGCGTGAGAGAAAGGGAAGACAGAGAGACTGGCGCCGTAACGCGTTACGCAACGAAGCGGTCTACCCTCCCATAAAAAGTTATTACTTCAATAAAAAATATAAAAGTGCGTGTATGAATATGCACACGCGCAAGAAGTAAAACTTCTGTAGATTATCGGTACTTTTTATGAAATTCAATTTATGTTTATATTCAATAATTAGAATAGGTGAGATACAAAAAATAACGCATATTAGGCATATTACAATCATATATTTATAGAATACTAGCATTGCCCGCGGCTCCGTCCGCGTTCAAATGATCAAAAACCAAAATCTTAGGTTTTACATATTAGTATGCTCTTACAATGCAGTTTTTGTATTTTTTCTCAGAAATGAGATATTTTCCCGCTGTAAAAAGTATCCTATATGTTGACCCGGATATCCAGCTATCATCATAGCAAATTTCATCAAAATCTGTCCAGTGGTTTTCTCGTGATGCGATAACAGACAGACAGACAAAAATTCTAAAAACTATAGAATCGGACTCTGTATCGATAATAATGTCTATTTCAATTACATTTTCCAAAAAATATTTAATGTACAGATTCGACTTAGTTACAATTTTATTATATGTATAGATGACATACCTGTTTCTCTTCCTTCGCTTGTGCCTTCATCTGCTGCACCTCCATAGTGTCGGGCTTCCGTCTCCGCATGTACAGGTCGTGGTTGCCGATACACAGATCTAGGATCTGTAAAAGAAAGTATCAATTTTCACTTCCTATGTAGAAAACCGTTAGAATTAAAGAACACTACATAAATATAGTAACAAAGCGAAATCTGTCCATGAAATATTTTTCAAAAGCAATATCTGTTACGTATTATGTATAGAATATAGACTCCAAAACAATAGTTATTGAAATTTTCGTCTGTTCGTCTGTATATATGTGTGTATTTCATGCAAAAGTACTGAACCAATGTTAACTAAATTTTGTGTAGTGATAACTTATGACAGGTCGACGTTTAGGATACCTTTTCAACAGGAAAATCTTTCATTCCCACAAGAAAACACGATAAATGGTTCTATCGAGTTGTTCTTAGAAATATACATGCAACAATAAACAACGTCGGCTAAACTTTAAGAGATGCCTCAAAATAATGTACTAGAAAATTTAAGGTATACTCGCAATAATTTTTATTAATTTAAAACATACATAAATAAAATAATAATTCCTTACCAATTTATTCATTCCTTTCGGTGAGAAGAATATGAAATTGTTAACACTTTTGTCCACAAATTTGATGACAAACTTCTTATCGTCGAAGGAGATGTGTTTTATCTCGGACCAGGGGAAAGTTGTTTTTGGAGTGAGTTTGTTATCCTTCTCATATATGTTAAGACCGAGAGCTGTCACACCGAGGTAGAGGTCGGTTTCTTTTTTATTCTGTAAATTATACAAAAGAAAAATTACTAATTATATGTAAATATCAATTGTTTTATTATATATATATATATATATATATATATATATATATATACGAGTATATAAATCAATGTATGTATGTACCCTATGGACTTTAAAACGGCTGGAGCGATTTTGATGAAATTTTCAAACAATCTTCAGGTTAGCACAGCGGGTCATCCTGTGCAGTTTGGTAATGATCCGAAGATTAAACGCGAGCGAAGCGGCGAGTACTAAAAGTTTATTATAAATGTCTTTTTACTTAAGACGATTCAGTACACTTTATTTAAATTTTATTTTAAACTAGCGACTCACCATCGCCTCACTTCAGCTTCCTCCCTAGACACAATAACAAATGGACCCCACGGGTTTTCCGGAATAAAAAGTAACCTATATACTATTCCAGACTTTAATCTATCACTTTGCCAAATTTTATCCACATCCGTTCAGCCGTCCTGGCGTAAAAAACATCCATCCATCCTCACAAACTTTCACATTTACTTATAATATGTATTAGCATGGATTAATAAACTAGAACTATTGACTGAAACAAATAGCCTGGCTTGAAATACTTACATTGATAGCAAAATAGTTGACACCATACATATCTAAGTCCTGAGCAATCTTTAGATACTCCATCTCTGCCTCATCACGGGACATACCTTTATGATCTGCATACCTGGTAGGAACAAATAAAAATCATTCTAAAGCGAAAGTTAGTATTAAATATTTGTCAACAAGTGGTGAAACCTGTATAATGTATATAATATCAATACATCTAAACATATAAATAAAATTGAAGTATATGTCTGTGATTTACAAATAACTATGTTTCCTCAAGTACATAGTTATTTATATGATAAAAGTAACTAAACAACCCTTTTAAAAAAAATGTCTGTCTGTTTTTCTGTTTATCTTTAGAACGGCTTAACCGATTGTAATAGGACTTTCATTGAAAGGTAGAGGGATTTGTAAGTTATTTATTTCAGAAATATTTAGGGTTCCAGCGCGAAAATCGAAAACCCTTAAAAGCAAAATCAAATTTACCGCATCACGAAAAAGTCCACGACATCATGTGTGTATCTCCTAAGGTACACTCAGAATAATTATTTTTATTTATTAATTATTGTAAACAATCCTAAGGACGCACCCGAACGAAGCAAACACAATTCACTAGTATTATCATAAACAAGTAAAAAGTCACTTATACACTATATGTTACATTTTTTTCTAAAGAGATAACTTTATTTAACTATTTTTTTCAACAAATAATTTACATTCCGGATAATATAAATACAATTTTGACAAAAAAATCACCAATAAGGTTTTAATGTTGGTACAAATAACGATATTACTTAAAAAATAAATATTCAGTATTTCTTTTAAATACATTTTGATAGCATGTTACATTGCTAGAAAAGACATTATTTATAATTTCCTTAATTTTAAAGAAAATTGTAATATCTTACCATATTTTAATTCTCTCCTCCCACATCTCAGGAGTCATCTGGTATTGGTCAATAACTCGCTGCGGCAGAAGGTCCTCACTCGCAAGCATACCTGGCTTGTATGCACTTTCATCATAATCGCCATACTGAAATATTGGTGTTAATAGTATTAGAGTTTAAATAAATATTTTTATAATATCTAAAATTTGTAAAATGTTTTCTGGATTAACAAATACCAAATTAAGACATTTTTTTTTATTCACTTAAATGTACATATAATATACCTGACATATGGATGGAGCTTGAATGGTAGTCTTTTTTTAATTTTGCAAATATTATATCATGATTTGAATTATAATATAACACTGGATAGGTTATTAATAATAAAAAAGTTTCACTACCACAGGTTGTTAAAAAATCGTTTATGCCTAGTCTCTGTTTAAGAGAAAAAGCATTAAACTACAAATGCTTTAAATATTTATTAATAATTATAATTTTTACTAAATGATTATTTCTCCCTAGAATTCAACTTTGTTTTATAATATTTTCAAACAAACATTTTATGGTAAATAATTTATACCTTATAACATTATGAATTCTTTGCATATCATTGTTATAAAGTAAATACTCCATATCCAAAGTACACACTTAGCAGAACAACAGAGAACGACTTAGCCGCCTTCTTCCTTCTAAAAGCCAGCATTATCCCGTATGATTTCTTATTAATATGAAAACTTACTTCCTGCCATAGGTATTTATAATATTGTTCATAACATAAATGTAATTCAACACACCTTAGCTTGAACAGCATAACTAGCCAATAACACAGAAGCTTCTGGAGGACAATATATATCCATACTCAAGATGGCTTGCTTGACTTGCAAGAATAATAGATGCTGTGTTACTTCTTGTATTAATTCTTCTGCCACATCTTCTGGATATAGCTTACATAATAACATAAATGGTGTGCCTGGCATTTGCGAAACACATTGATCTTGAACTAAAAACATTAAATAATCATTATTCAATAGAAATATAGAATGTAAAAGTATAATATATCATAATGAATTAACCAATAAGTTAATTATAATACTATTATATAGATCATTATTTGTATGTATTAACATTTATGTTCACCTCTTTTATCCAATTTCAGCCAGCTTATAAAATGTTTGGTATCCTCGAACTGTAGCCCAAAGAACCATGTCTCCCTCAACCCTATGGTTCTGCATACTAAATCAAATAAATCTCTTCCTGTTGCTCTCCACTAGAACAAAATACTACTAAAATAAATAGAAATTCTTTTTCATCATATTATATTTGTTTATAAGTGTTGTATGGGGATTATTTATAATAAAAACTCACTATTTTTAGATTTTAAAATTATTTTTTGTGGATGGCATATTTGCAGTTAATAATAACATATTATGTAAATTAACATGAAATAGGTATGTATCTATACAAATTATAATTCATTAATTACAAAATTAAATGCGTAAGTATGTGAAAAGCAAGTGTGAAGTGACCCCGGGGTCACAAGATGACTCACAACGGGTTCATTGTGTTAATTTGTGTTAACATTCCCTCAATACGCTGTAAACAAAATTACAAATATACGCAAATGTTATTCACAAGTTTACCTCAAGGTTGAACTCCAACTCCGCGTCCAAAGTACACACTTTAACAGGGAACGACTTTGCAGCCTTCTTCCTTCTAAAAGGCGGCATTATCCCATATCATTTCTTTTTAACACGAAAACTTACTTCCTGCTATAGGTTAGGTTCTTATTAACATACTTCAATTACCGTGCAAGTTACAGTTTACGTAACATGCACTCGATCGAGGAATGCGCGTAATTTCACATTGCGTACTATTTCCAGCGGTTATTATTTACAAACAAGAGGAACGTCAATGAAACAAGAATGCGAGGTGAATGAAGAAAAATTATTCAGAAAAACTAATGCTGTCGTTCCGTTTCACTATTTATTTCTAATTGTTTTTTTTTCTTTTTTATCTATGTCTTTTTCAAGTTCGTATAGCTATTATAAAACTGCAAAACTTGAAAATATTATTTTTGCTTTATTGAAAGATAATTATAAGTTTTATTATTTATATATGAAAAATTAAGATTATTCTTAATACCCAAGTTAAAAAATATATGATATTTTTGACATTGACAGTCATATGTTTGTAAATTTGACTTTGACAAAATTCGTGACTAACTTGAAACTTCACTAAATGAAACCATTACCCACGTGTGGTTCTGTTTTGAGATTTTATGATTAAGAAAACGTGATATCAAACTTAAAAAATGGGAAAGTTTAGATCAAAAATTAAGGGAAAAACAAAAGGAAAACGATGGCAGAAAGGCCAGTCTTCAAATTCTAATCCTAAAACCCAAAAATACCGAGAAATGGCCAAATCCCGGTTTTTTCAAGAAAATTTGAGTAAGTCAAAATGTACACTTTAAATATTGATTCAATAATATATTAAATATGCTTTCATAATATTCAAAGGTATTGAATTTAATAATACAAACAAAGAAGCTTACAAGCAATGCTTTATAATTCACATAACCTATCCTTTAAAAATAATAATATTATTATTTATAAGTTTCTGGACATATTTGCAACAGTTACAAAATACATCAGCAGCTACAAACCATTAGAAGTCAAATTTAATAATATATATTTTTTTTGTTTTAGGCAATTCTGGATTGACTCAGCAGGCTATATCAAAACACAATGCTATGATGACTTATGGACACAGCACAAGCAAGCCAAAATCTGAAGCAGAAAATGAATTGACAATTGCGAAAGAATTTGAAAATATGTCTGTTAAAACTGGAGATGAAGGCTCTGAGTCAGAATATTCAGGGTCTATGAAATCTGGCACTTATAAAACATTTCAAACTTTTGCTTCTGATTGGAGTCAATGTTCTAACGTCAGCTTTAGCAAGTAAGTTTTGCAATTGTTAAGGAAACATTGTTTCTCTTCCTAAAAATTACATACACATAAAAAGAAATTTAAACATTATTTTTATAGATTATTAACCAAATTCGATTCAAATAATGCTATTCATAAGGACATGTTAGCTGTACTGGCAGCAGTTACTGAAGTTATAAAAGAAGAAGGTGGAAAAGAGACTACCACTGAATATTTTGCTGCTTTGGTATGTTCCCTCCCTTATTATATTTCATTTTATTTAAATAAAAATTAATATTATATATATTTTTTATTTTTTATTGTATTGTTAATTGCTATAACCCAAATTTGTTTCAAGTATTGATGTACAATTCAATTCAATTTTCTTGTTAATGACTTCAAAGCATGAGTATTGATGTAATTTATTTTGTTCATGAAAGTCATAAAAAATATATATATATATATATGTTTAAGTATTTTTATATTCTTAAACAGTAGTTCCCTAATTTAAATTTATTTTTAATTATGATGTACATAAAATGTTTATTTTTATCATATTAATAAATATACAAAATGCTTTATTTATAGATGCAAACACTAAAATCTTCAGAAGATGACAACAGCTTAATAGCCACACTGTCCTTACTATCTATGGGCATAAAATCAGTTTCTCAAGCGGTGTTAAGAAAACAATTTTCAGATTCGGCTTCAATTTTTACTGATATATTGGAAAAGAACGCTCAATCTGAAAATGGACAGTTGCTAAGGAGTGCAATTGGATGTCTATCTGTTCTGTTGAGAGCTCAGGAATATGCTCTGTGGGGAGACTCGTCTACCATGAGGGTTTTTGAATCTGTGCTAGCTTTTGTTTTACATTCTAAACCTAAGGTATGTTGTTTCTTGTTATACTGAAATAAAAAAAATATCTTATTCCTTTTGAATGCATGTTTTTTTAATTTTGATATACCTGTATTGAAATTTTTGATGTAATTCTTTCTTCTCTTGTAGGTGAGAAAAGCAGCTCAACATGCAGTGACTGCCATACTTAGAGGAAGCTGTTTCATGATACCATCTGAAGATGAGAAAGCCAAGGTGGGTAATGTAATTTTAAGTTAGTTTAATTTTTATATATGGATGTTGCTTATTTTCACATATAAAAAAATCACATTATATGTCTACATTCCTGAAGTAATTCATATCAAGATATGATTTGAAATGCATGAGATCTTGTATACATCACATTCTCTAAGGCTCCGCTACTGCACATAAGAAAAAGCAAAAGAGTGCACATAATTGACTATGCGTTTTCTTGTGCAGTTTAGATTGACCGCCGTGAGCAATGGGTCATGAAGATATAAGTAATAATGATTCAAATAATTGATTAAAAATAAATGTTTTAATATGTTTTAGGTGCCAAAAGTCCATCCAGCCTCAAACAAAGTAGCAGAGTTCTGCTTATCGCAAATCAATGCCGAAGCTCTCCTCTCAGGACACCGCACGGTTCTGCACACACTGACTTTGCTTCGTGACATTTTACCAGTTTTCAGCAAAGAAAATATTAAGGTAAATTAAATAGTGACGCGAATATCGACAGCCAAAAAGCGATATGATGAAGTTGGCTGCATTCCTTTTACAAACAGAGTCGTGACATACAGAATGAGATCTTTAGCTATTTTTGTTCTGTTGCGCCAAAGAAGTGTAACACGTAAACATACACGTTTTTTCCAATTAGTGATTCAAGTTGTCCTCAAGTGTTCCTAGAAACTTCCCTTATTCCCTTACAATAAATGTATGAAAGTCTGCCCGATTTGTTGATATTTATGAAAACTGCTTCGCTTCCTTGGGTAGTGCCAGGATGATATGGCCTTTCTCAATAAACGGGCTATCTAATGCAAAAAGAATTTTTCAAATCGGATTAGTATTTCCTGAGATTAGCGCATTCAAACAAACAAATAAACTCTGCCTCTTTATAATAACAGTATAGATATATAATTAATTATAGTAAACTCCACAAATTATCCATGCCTCTTTTTCTTTTATTTATGTATTTATAATGTGATTTTTACTACTAAAATGTAACCGGTTACAGACAACATGCGAAGCGATCCTCTCGCTAATGACCCACAACAACGTGTACACGAAGACGTGCTGCCTGCACACGCTGCACGCGCTGCTGGCCGCGCCCGCGCCGCGCAGTAACCTGCCGGCCGCGCTGGCCGTGCGCCTGGCACGCGCGCTGCTGTGCGCGCGCCCCGCCGCCGCAGACGCGGGGCAGATGCTGGCCTGGCTCACCGTGCTGCAGCAGGCGTATGGCTGTCTTGCTGGGTAGGTGCTGGGGGTTTTCAGGGGTTTTGTAGCTGCAATATATCTGCAACGCCCCATTGCACTACGGCGACAGGTTCCGCTGTGGGTTTTAGTGAGTAGGGGTCCCGCAGTACCCTGCCCGTTGACGGTCGGCAGGGTCCCCGTGATGGATCTCTCCAGCGAAAACAAAAAAAAAAGGTGTTGCGGGTTTTTTGTGGTCCTTGACGAGTTTTGGTTATTTGGTTCGAATTGATAAGTTACTATGTGTTAATTATACGTAATATGGCCAGTACTAACGACTTATCCTCGCTTCATTGGAAAGTGTCCGTAAATTTGTTGTTTAATGTTTAACAGTATCCTATGTGGTACTCCAGGTGATATGTAATCTGTGTACTGAATTTTAGCCAAATTCATCAAGTCGCTTGAATGTGATGGAGAAACTAACATACACACACGCGCGCGCGCACACATACACACAAACACACGCACGCACGCACACACATATACGTAATTAAGATATACACACTTACATAGACTAATATTTAATATTATTTGTATACTTACAAAACAAAACTGCCCGGAAGGAACACTATTCGAATTTTTCAAATAGAATACCATTTTAGGCATCAAGTACTGTGTACTGCACGCCCTATCTATTCTATATTTTTAGCATTCAGAGTATAAAAGGTAAATTTTAGTTAAATAAATACCTTATATAATATTTGTTTCAGCTTGGATTTAGATTTGTGTATGCCAAATCTGCCGCAATTTGTGAACATCTGTGTCTCAGAGCTGTGGCTCTCAGACGTGGCGGATGTCAACGCCGCATCCACTAACGCCTTGAAAGTGAGTTTTGTTTTTATTTTATACATATTAAAAATAATTGGTACTAATCTGTATTATTATATATATTTATGTGTAACATAAATGTGTAAGTTTGTGAGTATGTATGAATGTTTGTTACTCTTTCACGCCAGAACGGCTGATTGGATCTGGATGAAATTTGGCATAGAGATAGTTCATAGTTTGGAATAACACATAGGCTACTTTTATTTCTGGAAAAATGTACGGTTCCCGTGGGATAGTTTGGTTTTCGTTTTCCTAGAGGCGAACCCGACGAAGCGAGGGTGAGCCGATTATATAATATTATATTTTGTAAATACTATAGTTTTTGTTGATCAGTCAGTTCGTCCGGATTTCGTATATTAATATAGAAAAAATGACAGGAATGGTTTATGTCGAGATAGTTTTTATTTATTCCGAATCATTCCTGCACTGATTCCCGTAGGATTCTAGTGCTTCAAGGGATGTTACTATTGTTAAAATAAACTTTTCTTTTAATTGGCATACAGCGGTTTTTCATTCTAATGTCTGATATTCAAAATTCAAAATATTTTATTCATTATCAAATTATTACAATTTTTTACTGAACGTCATGAGTCTACTACCAGTTCGGTATATGATGCCACTATATGATGTTAGCTGATTATCCGGATTATAGGACACTTTTTAGTGCGGGAAAATATCTCATCTCTGAGAAATCTATACTAACCATTAAAATGTATAATATTATAATTTTTAATATTCCCCACCCAGGCCGTGCTCATAGACTGTGTAAAGCCAGCAATAGAGTCAGACGAGAGTCTCCTAAAGCACAAGTCCCATATCGACGCCATATTCAAAAGCATCGGCACAGGTCTCGACAACCCCTTCAACCAGGCGATCAAACATGTCATACTCACTATTGCTGTGTGTTTTGAAGTAAGTATTCTAATGCTCTTCTATTGATCATTTTAAGTCTATTTTTTATCCGACAATAACGAAGCCCAAAAGGAAGGTTATGTGTTTAATATGTAAGCCATGTGTAATAGACATATATGTTCCCTCACTGCTACTAAACGGGAAAGCTTTTTCTAATAAAAACAATATAAATAAATAAATTAACATTGTCTTTATAGCAATAACTATATTGTCACTTTCGACGCTGGATATTTGGATTATTATATAAAAATTATTTAATGATTAAAACATCTCTTGTTGTTGCTATCAACAATTAATAATTATTTAGAAATGACGACTTTTTTATTTATTTATTTTTATTATAAAAGCTTTAAAAAGTACATTAGGCACACATCTTATAATTTTACAAGTTTCCTGGTTTTTTTCAATTCAAGTATATTTTCTTTTAATATATTGTAATGGCTTCGAAGACTGCCAATTTAACAGATTACTTTGCCAATGTCACGTTGAACTTTTTTTAAATGACTACTAATATTTAATATTTTTTTAATTATCTATTATTTCAAAAAAAAAACAGATAGCCAACGAAAAAATTGAATACGCAATAGCGCCTCTACTCAAAAAACTAAACGAACGTCGCGAAAGTCATAACTTCCACAATGAAATAGAGGCGGAACATGCTACAGGGTGTGCAATAAAGTCTTTGGGACCGGAATTCGTATTAAAAATCATCCCACTAAGAGATGGGAATAACATTAACCTGGATAGGAGTTGGCTTATACCAGTTATGAAAGAGAAAATAACAAATTCAAACTTGAAATTCTTCGCAACGGAAATTTTGGAAATGGCAACATTCTGTAGGAAAAAGTCCCGTGAACTGGCTGAGGAAAAAAATATGGCGGCGTCGCATACATACGATTTGTTATGTCATCAATTTTGGGCGTTGTTGCCCAGTTTCTGTAATCATCCCAAAGATGTTAAGGATAGCTTCAAAATCATGGCCAGGGTTTTGGGGAACGTTTTAAAGGATAACCCAGAGTTCAGGCAGTCAGTTATGCAAGCTCTCAGAAAACTCATATCTTGTGCTGAAAATGAAGACGATAAAGCTGAATTGGCAAGATTCGCAAAGAATTATTTGCCAATTTTATTGAATATATACATGACACCGGTCAAGGGCAGTGTGGCGGAAGGACAGAGATTGGCTGCTTTAGAGACTATACAGGTATGTTGTCTTCGATTATTTATTCTCTGTTATCTTTTTATAGGGTTCCATACCCAAAGGGTAAAACGGGACCCTATTACTAAGACTCCGCTGTCCGTCCGTTTGTCTATATGTCTGTCACCAGGCTATATCTCATGAACCGGGATATTTAGACTGTTGAAATTTTCACAGATGATGTATTTCTGTTGCCGCTATAACAAAAAATATTAAAAAACAGAATAAAATAAATATTTAAGGGGCTCCCATACAACAGACATGATTTTTTTGCCGTTTTTATAGATAATGGTACGGAACCCGTCGTGCGCGAGTCTGACTCGCACTTGGTTTTATAACTTTGAATTTAAATAAATCATATTTGAGATAGATTTTCTTTGCGATACTTTTGTTAATATAATGCTTCGATCAACAATACTACTAGATAACGTGTCACATACAAAATCAAAGCTAAATACTGTCCGCGCGAATATGCACATATACAGCTACATTTGTATACTAACGAACCAAGACAAAGTCTTATAATAGTTTTATTTTCAAGCTAATCATCACCATAGCACCTTGTAATAAAGTCTCAAATCTTCGAATTATCATCATACACTTACGATTATAGTATTATAGTATATTATGTATTTAAATAATAATCCATTGCAATACATATGTTTTTATTTGACAGCCTTGTTGCTTAGTGACCCTACTACATCACATCCCTCTTAAAAAAAAAATATTACTATAATTAAAAAAAATATAAAAATAAACTAAAAACCAAATCTTTCTGGAGCCTTTCGCTTTCTCTCCGATTTTCTTGTTGGTAATGAGGGGCAAACTAGTGACTGTCCAGATTCAAATGAAGTGTATGGTACAGGGTTCACATCAAATGTGTTGTTACGAGAGGACGAATCTCCTTGGGCTGTAGGTTCAATTTGGCTTTCATTTGATAAATAATATGAAATTTTATTACCATCAGCCACTCTGCTTCGCATTAATTTATTTAATTAATTTATTTCGCATTTATTTATTCATTACTAAATAAGAGTAAGGGCCTGTTCTAGAAGTCACTATTCCAGGTTCAGAACCCTTTTGTAATGTTTTGTTTATCCAAACAGAATCTCCAGGTTGAAATGGCATAGGCTGTTGTTGTTGTTGTTGGTGTTATTTTGTAATTGTTGACGTAATTGTGCTTTTTCCATGTTTCCTCGAACGTCTGGTTTTAATAGATTGAATGTTGAACGCATTCTACGTCCAAACATCATTTCAAAAGGAGATCGTTCAGTGGAATGCTGAGGTGTATTTCTGTAACCTAACAAAAAACTACATAATCTTTCATTTAAATCTGTATGTGAGGCTACCATCCTCTTTAAAAGTTCGCACCGCTCTTTCTGCCAGCCCATTAGTTCTGGGATGGTATGGTGTGGTTTTAATGTGTGTTATTCCGATAGATTTACAAAAATATCTAAATTCATCAGCTACAAATTGAGGTCCATTGTCTGTTACAATATATTTCGGGTATCCGTATAAGGCAAATAAACTTCGTAGCCTTTTTATAGTACAAGTAATACTTCTAACCATTTAGTGTAAGCATCAATGATTATTAGCCATGTAAAACCAAGAAATGGACCTGCGAAATCTATGTGAATCCTTGACCAGGGTTCGGGGGGAATACCCCAAGAATATACCGGAACTTTGTTATTAGTGTTTCTTGATCTTTGACATCGTTCACAATTTTGTCCAAAGTCGATAATGTCTTTATCTATATTCGGCCAATATACATGCAATCGGGCTAGAGATTGCATCGCAGTAATTCCTGCGTGTCCATCGTGTAACATTTTTAATATTTCAATTCGTAAATTAATTGGAATACAAATTCTACCGTTCCATAAAACAAATCCGTCTTCATATGACATTTCTTGTCTCTTTTCATAGAAAGCATATAAGTTAGTGTCAATTTCTTTTTTGTCTGGCCAGTATGAAGTTATATATTTTATAACATTTCTTAGTAAAGAGTCTTTAGATGTTTCTTCTCGTAAGCGATGTCTGGTAATAGGTATAGTTTTAAGTCTTAAATGAAGTAAATGTGAATATTTTGGTAAGCCAATTTTTTCAATTATTGAGGAATCTTCTTCTGGTAATGGTAAATGAGATAAAGCATCTGCTGGAGAGTTGTCCTTTGCAGGTAAATATTCTATGTCGTAGTCATAACAATTTAGTATCATTGCCCATCTCAAAAGTCGATTGCTGGCTATTTTAGGTGTCTCTTGGTTTGGACTAAATATACGTTCAAGTGGTTTGTGATCTGTTAGCAATGTAAATCTTCGACCATATAAATATTGATGAAACTTAGTAACTGCATAAATTAAGCCTAGTGCTTCCTTATCAATTGTTGAATACCATTGTTCTACAATTGATAACGTTCTTGATCCAAAAGCGATAGGTCTCATATCTCCGTTCTCATATTTATGGAACATAACTGCTCCAATACCTTTGTCTGATGCGTCACTGCTCACATATATGGGAAGGTTGCTGTTATTATTATATATATAGGTTGGTGCTGGGCTAAAGTATTGTTTGATGTTAGTATATCCTTTAAGCTATTAATAATATTAGAATCTGCTGTTGTCCAATCCCATTTATTTCCCTTTTTTAAAAATCTATACAATGGTATACATTTTACTTATAACATTTCAATAAACCGGCCGTAGTAATTAATAGACCCTAGAAATGCTCTAAGTTCTGAAATGTTTGATGGGATAGGCATATCTTTTATGGCTTTAACATGTTCTTCTGTTGGATGCAGTCCATGTTTATCTATCTTATGTCCTAAAAATGTTACACTTTCTTGTAGCCATGAGCATTTAGAAATTTGACTTTTAATACCCGCTGACTTTAATTTTTTTAAGACTACGTACGTACGTACGAACGTACCTTATTAATGTGATCCGTTAAATTGTTTGCAGTTATAAGAATATCGTCAAGATAGCAGACTACTCCATCAATACCACTTAGTATTAGATCCATTGTTCGCTGAAATAAAGCTGGAGCAAAAGAGATACCGAATGGTAAACGTTTATACTGATAGTATCCACTGTGTGTTGAGATTACTAAATATTTTCTGGACCCTGGATCAACCATCAGTTGTAAATAAGCGTCTTTTAAGTCTATTTTTGTAAACAATACACCTCCTGCTAATTTAGATGTTATTTCTTCAAATCTAGGTAATGGATAGTCATCCACTTAAACATGTCTATTGATTGTTACTTTGAAATCCGCACAAATACGTATGTTGCCATTATGTTTTACTGCTATAACTATTGGCGATGCCCATTCAATTGGGGTTGTCATTGTATCTACTGATTCTATAACGTTTTCATTTACTAGTCTCTGTAGTTCAGCTGTAACCTGATCTTTAAGGGCCAGTGGTACTGGTCTTGGTCGAAATGTTTTTGATGGCACGTTTTCTGAAATATGAATTTTTGCATAATGTCCTCTTATGGTACCTAATTTTCCATCAAATATTTCAGGAAATTCGTTGAGTAGCTGTTGGACTATTTGATCGCGGTAAAAAGGGTTTTTAATAGTTCGGTTTCTTTCTATTATGTTATTTTGATCATTTATTTGGTGTATTTCTTTAATGTTACATAGCCTTGATCCTGGAGGCATTGGAAGTTCATATTGTATACACCAATCTAGGCCAAATAATGGTATATCATTATGTTTAGTTACGTATGCTTCTAATAGTTTAGTTTTATTAAATGCCTCTACCATAATTTGACAGATTCCCAATGTTTTAATCTTAACATCTGTATAAGCTATTAAGTTACTACATTTCTTCAATTTTGGTCTTCCTAGAGTTTTCCATAACTCTTTGCCAATAACTGAATGTACTGCACCTGGGTCATACAACATATCGATCTTAATATTGTTCATAATTGTTGGTATTAAAATCTTTGATGGCTTGTTTTTATGATTGATGTTAAAAGATTGCGGAGACTCATCTACATCAGAATCTGAACTATTAGAATTTATATCATTATGAAAGGTTTGTACTAGTCTTGTTTTATTATATTTACTTTTAGAATTTTCCGTCGTGATACAAACGCTTGAAAAATGGTTTTGCTTACCGCAAGCACTACATTGCTTTCCACGTGCAGGGCACTCCGCAATATTTTTATGATATGACTTACCACAATAAGTACATCGCTTCATTTGATGATGATTCGTTTCGCTTTTAATTGTTTTATTGTTTTTGATTACTTTGTTAATAGTAACGTTATCGTTAAAATCTGAATGTTGCATTGTATGTGTTTGCGTTATAAAATTTGCTCGAGTTTCTGCCTGTTCCAAGTTTCGAGCTGTAGCTACTACATCCGCCAGTTTAGCACTGTTATTAGGATGCTGTTTAATGAGTTCTTGTTGCCATTGCAGGTTATTTATACCAATTACCAATTGATCTCTCAGGCGTTCATCCATCATATTTCCAAATTCACAATACCCAGCTGAAGATCGAAGGTCCATTACAAATTGTGATACTGAGGTGCAACTATCCCTTCTTTTAGATGCAAATGCTACACGTTCTGCAAGTACATATGTTTTTCTTCCATAGTATTCGTTCAAAACAGTTACGAGTTCGTCGAAATGTTTTTCTGTTACTGATACTGGTCGGAATTGATCTACAAGTACCTTGAATGCTTTTTAACCAATCCGAGATAATAACAATCGTTTTCGTTTTTCTTCATTTTCTCTTGTGTTAAGTCCATGAAGTTCAAGTTCAATTTTAAGTCGTTATATATAATACTCCCAATCATCAGGGTTATTTAATTCTTCAAATGTAAATTTTTCGAGGGACAATTGGGAATTAGTGCGACTTACCATCTACGACTGCGTTACCACTTACCATCAGGTGGAACGTAGTCAAGCACTAATTCGGAATAGTATAAAAAAAAAAAAAAAAAAAGACATAATTCTCCTTTATCCTCGTCGCCAAATATAGTATTATAGTATATTATGTATTTAAATAATAATCCATTGCAATACATATGTTTTTATTTGACAGCCTTGTTGCTTAGTGACCCTACTACAACGATCATTTCGTAAGTTTTATAATCTTTATTGTAAATTCGACTTTATGTCAAATGACATAAAGCACTTTTTCCCTTTGTTATACACGTATTTAACGAATATAAGACACTCCGTCCGAAAACATTCTTTTTCGGGCATTATTTTGGAAACTTTTAAATACACATTGCGGCTTTGTGAACGTCTTTACGTTGGCAGTGTATAAATAGAACTAATCGAAATATACGCTCACTTTGTAAGTGAGCTTATATTTACCGAGACGGATTTCTTACACCGACACGATATCTAGTAGTATTGTTGATCGAAGATATAATGGCTTTTGTATTATAATCTACATAACAATGTCTTTTTCTTTAAAGGATTCGTAAATAGTTGATTTTTGTTTTCATTTTGTTTATAGTGATATTATATAATAAATAATAATAATAATACATATATTGGGACATTAACACACAACACCATCTAGTTCCATGGTTAGCTACGAGTACGAGGCTTGTATTATGGATACCAGATAGTTGATACACTACACATATATAACTTTAAATACATACATATTATAAATATAAACTCCCATGACTGCAGTACAAACTTTGTGCTCATCACACAAATGATGCCCCCAGCAAGACTCGAACCCTCGACCGCTGGCACAGCAAGCAGTCAACTGAGCCAAACGTGTCGTCCAGTATGAGTCTAAAAATATAAATTCATAAATATTAATATCATTACAGGTTTACCTAACAATAAGCGATCAAACATTAAGAGAAGAACTCTTCAACAACTCCCTCCAACAACTAGATGTGACTGTAGACAATCATTTCCAAAGAGAAGCCATTCTTGATATAATTCGTTTACTTGTGCTTTATCAAAGTACTGAAAACATATTAAATCTCTTCACTAACTGGGTGTTTCCTCTCTGCGAAACGGTATTGGAAGATCCGAAGAAATTTAAAAAGTCCAAAAAGGAGAAAATGGACACAGAAGAGTCAGCAGATAAAAAACCACAACTTAAATACAAAGATAAAGCCAGATTATTGGAAATGGAGCACAAAAAGGCGTATCGTATTTTAGAAGAAATTTTCAAGAGTGACAATGAGAGTTGCAAAGAGTTTCTTTCGAGCAATTACAAGAAGATAAAGAAATTGTTGATGACGTCATTAAATAAAGTAGCAGACAGCAGCAAGGCAGCCAGATTAAGGTATGTACTAAATATAATTGTTTTTTAAAGTGAAACTTCTTTAGAATCTTTATGATTTGAAACTCGATGAAACGAAAATGCTACACTAAAAAGTTTAGCCGGCGAAAAAATGAGATACAGTGCCATGTTGCCATGGCAACCGTTGTTATTGTCTGACAAATATATAATATTATATTCTTACCGTATATAATAATCTATAAATATATGATTGTAATATGCCTTATTTAATTATTGATTTCCTTTATTTTAATTGCGATATTTGCCAAAGAAGTTTTACTTTAACTGAGCGTAAAGGTTACACGCACCCATTTTTTATTTTACGTTTTTTGTTAGCTTGACTTTTAACTATGTACTGTTAATAATAATTTTTCAAATAAAACTACTGAATTTCAGCAATTTCTTCTTTACTATAATCATTTCACAGAATGCCTTACAAAATAGCAATTAAAACTATTTAAACATTATTTTCGCACTGTTGGGTGTAACGTACCGACATAGACTGTCTTCTACACATGATACTACCCAATAACAGATGATGATACTTTTATAACATTAATATTTGAAATTATAAAATTATAAATAATCAATATGAAATTAATATAAAATACTATATAACAAAATATGAAGAATCCATTTGATCTAATGATCAATATTCGAACATTGTTTATCAAAGTAAAAATTGTATAATTATAACTTATAACAAACTCAAAAGTTGGTTTTAATATACTTCTAAATTTGGATACCATGGAGCTGATGTGACTGAGGATGTTAGGAGGTGGATAATGAAATCCTTTTAGGGTTTTTTTATAATGAGTCCCATTCATTACCGTTGGTAAATGAATATTTTTTTGACTTGCTTCAAAATTTATTAGAATTAAGAAAAAAATATATATTCAAAAAAATATTTTAGCGTTCTTGATGCGCAAAAAGCCTGAGATTTTTGGAAGGATTATATTAATTACAATATCTATATATTATACGTCCTTTAGTTATTCCAATATGATTAATGGAATAAAATTGAATGTATATTGTATAATAATATTAAATTTTTATTGGCCTATTTTATTCACATGTACTCCGTAAATAACATTTATAATTTATTTATCTAATGTTCATCTTTTGTACAGATGCATAGAACATCTAATTAACGTGACGCCGTATCTGAACGCTGAGAGCAAGTTGATAAAGAGTGCAATCGCAGAATCCGTAATCTGCACTAAAGATATCAACTCTAAATGTCGCCAGTGGGCCTTCAGTGTGATAAATACTATTGGAAATGTTCTGAAAAATCAAGAAGGAGGTGAGTTTGCTTGTACATATTTATATATGCATAAAACTATTTATAAGAAATTAAATTAACTATTATGATACATATTTAAAAATCAAAATATACTTTTAATTATCATTTTTTACATTTAAATTAATACGAACAAATTTGTGTGTAGTAAATATTAATAATGCAACATACATTGTAGATATTTGACATATAATAATATTTAAAATGTTAATTCTGTTGGTATTGAATAAATATACATTTTACTTTAATAAAGTCGAAAAATATATATGATGTATATATGTACGTATATGAATATTAGTAATAAAGCTTTGTTTTTGGTAGAGGTTGAAGAGAGGAAAAAGTCTCTTCTAGTACAAGAAGTATTAAGGTCGTTTGAACAAATAAACACTGACATAACTTGTGTGCTTTATCATATACACTACACACTTATCTAGTCTCAGTGAGACCAGTAGCTGTAGCCGAAATCGGAAGACATTGTTATATCACACATAGTATAAAAGAAAGTCGCTTCTCGGCGTCTGTCTGTCCCTATGTATGCTTAGATCTTTAAAACTACGCAACGGGTTTTGATGCGGTTGTTTTTAATAGATAGTGATTCAAGAGGAAGGTTTATATGTATAATACATGCATATTATAGTACAGAAAAGCCGAGAAATTCAAAGATTTGTATTTCATACTAACCATTAAAACGTACCTTTATTGTAAAGTATATTATATTTTTATTAGTGGCGATCCATTACTAAATATATGTTACTAAAACCACAGATCATATATACATATACACAGGTAAGAAATTTGACAACGATAATTCAGACCATTCTTCGGGCTATTTTTGTTCGCTTGAATAGATAATAGATGTCGTTGATTCGCAAATAGTTAAACTGTTTTGTTTTATAAATATCTACAAACGTATGGTAAATAATTTAAAATTCATCCTACATTTAAATTAAAAAAATTATCTATGTTAATTAATTCATAAAAAGTAAAAGCGCATTCTGTGAAATATACACTACAAACCCATCGCCTGATTGCTGATATTTCAATAATCTGTAAAATTATGCAAATTTTGATTTAAGGACGCAGTATTCGTTCGTCTTCACACAGTATATTTTTTAAAACAATAATACACCTTATTGGGATTAATTTTTTCATCTTTTTTTAATTTAATACATCTTTAATAACAAATCGATTCACATGTAACGTCATCTGTTGACATTTATTTGAACTAATTTTTCTTTGTTCATATTGAGACCCTATGCTAAAACTAAGTACCTTAATAGTATTTCTCATAAATGAATGTTGTCTCAAGGCATGCAAGCCTACATCACCCTACTTCTCTCCGGTCTCTCCGCATCTGAACCTCGCGTGGTCAGTTGCTCTCTCCGCGCTGTTGCCTCCGCCCTCTTCACCTACAGCGAGGAGATGGGCCTGGAAACGGTCCAGGGTCTGCTGGAGAAGGTGGCAGAACACATGAAGACCAATAACAGAGAGATTGTATCGGCTAGCATGAGCTTTTTGAAGGTAAGCCGGTTTTATTTGGATGTGTTTATATTTTTTGGATTAATGTTGTAAAGGAGAAATTTAAGTTTATCTATAATTTAAAACTATGATTATTTTCTTTCAATCGATTCTATGATAAAAAGTTAATAATTTGTGTTTTATATTTGTATATTGTTATAATTTTACAAATTCTTATAAAAATTATTAAATAAATATATGTTATTAAATATAACTCTTACTTAACTAATAAATATAACTGCCAGTTCGTTTGTTGCAAACATAAACTTAAGAACAAATATTTCAGGTCTACACCAAAGTTCTTCCAACAGACGTGTTAGCCGGTAGCTTACCTTTAATATTTAAAACACTATCTTCAATGGCCGACGACTGCAAACGACATTCTCGGCTGGAAATAGGATATTTTTTGTCTAGAATGACAAGGAAATTCGGTGCGGAATTGATTGAGAAACTGATCCCTCAACAAGACGAAGTTATGTTGAAAAGATTGAGGAATATACGGAAAATGGATAATAGAAAGAAGAGAGTCAGAGATGGACAGAGGTGAGTGGTGTGGCTTGCAGTTTTATGCGATTTTTATTTTTGACTGTAAGATGCAAAAAGTAACTTGGCCATTTGTACATTTTTTGCCAATTTGTTGAGAATATTGCAAGATTTATCCATCCCCTTTTTATGTCCATTTGATAGACATCATACCCTTTCATATTAATATGTCTCAAATTGTTCCACATAACTCAATTCGATAGCTAACTGCGTTATACCATATCAACAAGTTTCATAATAATCAGACGAATGGCTTAAAAGTGTTTGAAAAACAAAATGTATGTGTGTATCAATCGAAAATCGATAGATTGAAAAAATATTTTTTCGCATAATTAATTTAAATGTCAGTTTATCTATACTAATCTATATCTATACTAATATTAGAAAGAGGAAAGATTTGATTTTTTGTTTGTTTGTTTGTACCGAATAGGCTCTGAAATTATTGAACCGATTTAAATGAAATTTGGTAAGAAGATAGTTTGAGACCCTGGAAAGGACATTGGATAGTTTTTTATCTCGAAAATCATCCCTTACGGGGGTGAAAATAGGGATGAAAGTTTGTATGGGGAATAAATAATGTATAATAATAATAATAATAATCTTTATTGTCTAAAAAGTTTAGTTTACAAAATATTTAATTACTGAGGGTAACTCACACTAGGCAATGCCTGTATCGTGAGTACCACAATTTGATTAACAAATAAAATATTGTTGCTCGGTTAACAGTGCTAGTAAAAGTTATTATTTTGACAAAGAGATATGTAAAAACTATAAAAATAAAAATATTGCTTGTTTCATTTTGCATTTACAATAAGTGCATTAAAAAAAGAAAAAACAAAAGCTTAATTAATATGAACATAATATATATCTACACAGTTGCACAGTTTAGATAATTGAAAAAGCCCATTACGATATATCATAAATAATTTTTTCTGTAGCATCATACGTTAAAGTAGCGAGCCATGACACCACTTTTGTCTTAGCTTTCTTAACTGAGCAATATTTAATATCACAAAAACCGACAACTCTGTTATATATTAATGTGTCAATATATGGACCAAATCGTTTAGCAAAACACGACCTTACATTCGGTAAAGGAATCTTAAAAACTCGACGGGCTAGTAAATTCTTGTATACCGGGGACAGAATAACGCTTTTATGAACTTTGAGAGTCACATGTAATATAAACAATTGGCGCACACTTAATACTTTACTGTCCTTGTAAATTTGAGATGTAGGATACATAAAAGGTACTTTGAGCATTGCCTTAAGAACGGATCTTTGGGCTCTTTCTAACTGTATCATATGTGATTTTGCAGCACCACCCCAAGCCGTCAATCCATATGTTATGATGGATTGGCACAATGCAAAATACACAGATCGTAGGAGGTCTACTGATGCTGTGTTACGAAGTAATCTCATTACGTGAATGATCTTGCGCACTCTGTTTGATAATGATTTTATATGTTCTTTAAAAGTCATATGTTGATCGATAAGAATTCCTAAGTATTTCACTGTATCTACTTTATTTAGTGTATCACAATTACATTGATCTTGGTAACTGAGATTACATGTGTGTAATTTTAGCTGTAATGACGTATTTGGGGCCGATGTAATGGTTTTATGAAAGCACATATAATTACTTTTCTTTGTGTTTAAAGTGAGAAGATTGTGACGGAGCCATGTAGAAATTCGTTTCATTCCCAGTTCGGCCTTCACAAAAACATCAGGCCAGTTGTCGCCCTCATAGATAATAACAGTATCATCTGCGTAACAAATGATATCTCCGTCGGTATTGTTGTGTATGTCGTTAATATACATAGTAAACAGTGTAGGGCCCAGTATGCTTCCTTGAGGGACTCCAAAAGTAACTGTTTTTTGGGAACTTTCATAACCACAGACTCTGACACATTGCTTTCTGTTGGTTAGATAGCTCTTAAACCACTCCAGTGCAACCCCCCTTATAGCAAATTGTACTTCTAGTTTTTTAAGTAGAATTGATGTGGATACTGTATCGAAGGCCTTGGACAAATCCAAGAATACTCCTATACTAGGCTTGTTGTTATCTAAATTAGTAGCTATAGTGTTAGTAAATAGGGTGATTGCATCAGCCGTAGAGCTTCCTCTTCTAAATCCAAATTGTCTAGGGGAGATAAGTTTGTTTGCTTCAATAAAATTTGTTAACCGTGCACTTACAATTTTTTCTAGTAATTTTGAGAATGCTGTTAGTAGCGAGATAGGTCGATAGTTTTGGGGAGAGTCTTTCGGGCCAAAATAAAGCTGAAATCGCTAGTATTTTCTATTTGAATAGCATATTCATTTTAACAACTTTAAATTAATAACCAAATTTCTCTGCCTCTGTCCGTATGTGTGGGTGTGTGTGTGTGTATGTTTGTGTATATTTAAGTAAATTATTTAATATAATATTCCAGAGAACAAGACATCGATTCATCTTCGGACTTAGAAGTAAAGGGCACTTCCAAAACCCTGGAAGACATCCTCAGAGACAGTGACTCAGACATGGAATATATGGATGAGGACGAACGTCCCCGGTCCAAGGCTAAGGCTAAGAAAACCAAGGGCAAGAACCAGGCATGGATTCAGGATGATCCGGAGAACATTGTGGATCTTGCTGATGTGTCATCTGCTAGGAAAATAACAGGTATAACGAGGGCACGTGTATCTTTAAGAATTTGGTTTTTGGTCAACTGAACGCGGACGGAGCCGCGGGCAATGCTAGTTTTATTATATGTATAGATGTATTTAAAAGTTATATATGTGTAGTGTATCAACTATCTGGTATCCATAACAAAAGCCTCGTAGCCTTACCATGGAACTAGATGGTGTTGTGTGTTAATGTCCCAACATATTCATTTATTATTTAAAGCGTTTTATACTCAACAATATCTATAATACATATAACTATTCCAGCGACGGATCCAAATCAAAAGAAGCGTGTGACAGAAGAGAAGAAAAAGAAGAAAGATGGAGGCTTCAGGACAGCTCCCGACGGCAGACTCATCATCAGTGACGAGGCATACGATGATGATGAAGATGATGAGCCCCGGCCCAGTGGGGATATTGATACTGATACAGATGATACAGGTATACGCTTTGATTTGTATTGAAATATACTTATGTTTTTTATTTGTGATGGATATAATCTGGACATTAAATGTAGCTTAGTTATTATTAAATGATAATAAAATAAACAATGTACAGAAAAACAAGGTGATCAATTATTTTAAAATCCGTACGATTTGATGTTTTTTTTTAATATATTCAGAACATTATAATATAGTCTTCAGTGTACGTTTTAAATAGACATAAATAGTTATTGCGAGTGTACTTTAGAAGAAAAACTTATGCTTTGCTGATTTTTGCATGAAGATTCTTTGCTGTAAAAACACAAACAACGGATCACGGATATCGTACGTTTTTCCGGGATAAAAACTAAAAAGTATCCTATGTGCTATTCCAGACTAATCTATCTCAGTGCCAAACATCTAGATCCGTTCAGCCTGAAACGTTTCTGGCGTGAAAGAGTAACAAACATACTTCCATCCAAACTTTATCATTTAATTAATAATATTAGTAAGATTATGTAATCTTATATTAAATTAAGTATTTTAGTAAATGTGACCTTAAATGTAGGAATATACATGAATATGACTCTCAATTGACCAATGCAATAATTACTGTAACTATATCACGATATGTCGTTTTCAAAAAGCCATTTTTTTATAGAAGCCATTATTTTAAAACACATTCAATCCACAGATAACGAAGGAGGAGATTCGAAACCTTCGAAGTTACTGAAACCAGGTGCCAAGCGCAAGTATGACGATATTCTCAGTATTAAGAGCGGTCGCACCAACCGCAGCCGCGCTTCCACACTCACGGTGGCCTCCAAGTATAAAGCTGGTGGAAAGGGTATACATAGGTATGAATTATTATTATTATCTATATACATATAAATAAAATTGAAGTATTTGTTTGTAATGTCAAAAAACTTAAAAAAAATTAATAAAAAAAACTATTCTTTTAATTTTTTCGTCTGTCTATCTGTCTGTCTACTGTCATTTTAGATAAAAGATTAAGAGTTCTGTACAAAAAAAAACATGAAATTATGAACTAAGTCTACACTAATATTATAAAAAGATAATCATATAGTTATTAAACGGGCAATTCTTTTTTATTTATATATAAATACATTTCATACAACATTAATATATATGAATAGATTTATTTTGTGTGAGATAATTTAATGGCAATTTTGTTCCAGGCCGCTGAGCTCGGCGGCGTCGGTGGCGTCGTCGATGGGAGCCGAGTTCAGGTCGAAAAAGGCAAAGGGCGACATCAAGAAACAAGGCAAGCCCGACCCGTATGCATATCTGCCCTTGTCGAGGAAGAATCTTAATAAAAGGTACTTGTTGATATTTAAGTGGAAATAAAACTTGTATTATTCACAATAAGTATTTATTGTTACATATAATTTAAACAGCAGTGACAGCCAAGGGAATAATTATCGAATAGAAAAAGTATCCAACCTTATATACTATTTTTGAATTTTTATTTTTCTTCTTTTTTTTACCAACATAAGAATAACGTTTACCGTTCCTAATACTTAACAGTACCAAATCAACAATAACAAAATGTATTCTTAAATGTACATTTTGTTCCTACTGTTCATTGATATACAAAAACTTAAAATACACAAATAACGTCTCAAAAGTGTCTTCAAAAAAGTGCGCCTTTTGAAATTGTATTGCGCTTTTTTCAAATCTCTTTTGTTCGTTGCTTTTCGGATGACAAAATTAAAGCTCACTTTATTTCGTTTAAAATAGTACTTTATGTGGTGTGCGTAAGTTCGAATTTGACTTTTTAATTTTATTCTTCTCGATTCTCGATTCTTTAATTTTATTCTTTGGTTTGACTTAACGTCGCATGTCGACGTTACTTTTTGACGAGATATTTGTTAGGAAATGTGTATCTACTGCTGCTTCAGTGGTTTATTGGCTAGCTTATATACCTGTAGATCTGGACGTCCTGGATGCGAGTTCTGGTTTGGGCCACGCTTATAATTTTTTTTAATTTTTTTAGGCATTTTAATTTATGGTCTTATAAAAAAATCATCACGAAGTATTCAATTAGGAGTATGTAGTTTTAATTGTATATGTTCCATGATGTCTCCAACAATCGTAAACCGGTTTTATAGGTTACATTTAATTTTGGATTGGATTATGGTATATGGTTATGATATATCTAAAACACAGTCTTATACTTATAAATTTCAACAGAAAAATCCTTCGCTAAAGCTGGAATAATTAAATTTGTATTTTTATATTTTTAGTTGAATTTTAAACTTTAGTTTCTTTAGTTAACGATTTAGTTAAATTGGGTATTAATAATATATCTATAGTTTTATTAAGAGTTATGTCTAACATTTATTGCGCATTGTTTCCAGGAAAAAGGCGGTCACAACGAAACAATTCAAGGGTATTGTAAAATCAAAAACAAAAGGCGTCAGAGTGGGGAGGAAAAATAAATAAAATGTGATTACTTTTAACTACAGGGATATGTTACTTTATACTGATTTCATTTATTATAAAAGAAAATAACTAAAGACAGACACGCGATTATGATTCTATGTATGTATTCAGCCCTTTTTAACGTCCCACGGCTGGGGGCGGGCCTCCCTTCAGTACGAGGGGAATCAGGCCATAGTCCACCAAGCTGGCCAAGTGCGAGCGGACTGAGCATGAACTCTTCATACTTTCGAAAACTTACTAAGTTTTCTCAGACATACAGGTTTCCTCACGATGTTTTCCTTCACCGTAAGAAAAGTGGATCATGTTGGAAATAATTCGCACATGAAAATATCAGAGGTGCGAGACCCAGGATTTGAACCCGCTTCACTCGGTTTCCCAAGCGAGCGTATTACCACTGATCTACCACTGCCTATATTTTATTAGTATTTGCATACTAATTGGATTATGATTAGTTGGTTTTTGTTTGATTCTCGAATTAATGTTAAAAAAATAAAATAAAGTGAGAAATACCGCGGGATAGTCAATGTGAAGCATTTTTAAAATGATTTTTGTAACTTAATGGTTTTCTTGAAAGATAATACAAATGAAGTAGCGAAATATTGCTTGTAAAAAATATAATATTTGTTTGTTTTTATTTCTTACTCGTAGATCTTATATATTATAAGTCAAAAAGTGTTTAGATAATATAAAAATGCCTTAAAATTTTGCATATAATTGTTACAGCGTTAGCAATAAATATGTTGTGTCGCGAAATGATTAAACGTGGTTAAAAATGAGTGTTTTTTTTTTCTGTTGACTTGTATCCTTTATATGAATATATATTAATTTAAACTAGAAATAAATTGTTTATTTAATGTTTTAATATTACTACTTCAATAGAAAACTATACTTATTGACGAGAAGTATGAGCTTAGGCATAATTAAACATTTAAATGGAGGAAAACTGCAGAAAGTTAAAATTTATTGAATTTTCTTTGCCAATACTCCACTCGCTTGGTTTTTTTATGTATAATTACTCTGCTACTAAAATCTGCAACGCTGTGTGAGATAGCCTATAACATTCGTCAATATTATACCAATATTACATAATAATAGTACCAATGCCTCATCCCAAACAAAGAAATTGGACAGCGATAATTCGGGCAATTTTTCTTTGCTTGAATAGTCAATAGATGTCGTTAATTCGCAACAACGCAACGAATGTCAAATATTGTAAAATTCATTCTGTATTTGAACAAAAAAATCTGATTTTAACCCTTTTAACCGTGACAAACAATTCATAAAAAGTAAAAGCGCCATCTGTGAATATATACACTCCAATCCCATCGTCTGCTTGCTGATATTTCAATAATCCGTAAAATTACGCAAATTTGACTTACGGATGTATTATTTCTTTTTCCTTTCATTTAAAATATTTTTTAAAACTATAATATATCTTTTTGTGATCTAATTTCTTATCATTTGTTAATTTAACAACTTCAATAACAATCAAAACTTCGATACATGTAACGTCATCTATTGACATTTTTTTTCAACTAATTTTTCTTTGTTCGTGATGAGACCCCATGCTAATATACGTACAGAGATGAGTGTTTTTTGTCTGCACTTGCTACTCTCTCTATATTTTTTTTTCATTTTATGCTTTATAACTATTTATTTCATTTTGACCAAAGAATCTATTCTGTCAAGTCGCCTTATATTATGTTCTTTCAAATCGCCCCTAGAAATTTATTTGGCTAACGCTGGCTAAACCTTAAGAAATATATCAAAACAATGTACTAGAAAATTGTAGGTCTTAAAAAGATCTACAAAAAAGTAAGGTACACTCGCAATACATACTTTTATCTATACAAATAATAACATAGTAACTTAGCGAAATCGATATGCGCGTTTCACGCAAAACTTACTGAACCGATTTTGACAAAATTTTGTGTAATGATAACTTATTACTCGGGTCAACATTTAGGATACCCTTTACTACAGGAAAAATTTTTCATTCGCACGGGAAAACAATAACTGGATTTATCGAGTTGTTCCTAGTTTACATGTCTAACGCTGTCTAAAACTTAAAGAGATACTGTAATAATGTCAAAAAAAATGTACATACTAAAAAATGTAGATCTTAATAAGGCCTTCAAAAAAATCTGCAAAAGTACAAGTCTTTCTCCTAAAGTACACTCGCAATATTTCATATCTATATCGTATCTAGGGAAAGGCCAGGCGAAGTCACTTTATTTTATGTATAAGTGTAATGAATGAATTACTCTTTATTGTACACCCAAAAAGAGAAAAAAATATATACACAATATAGAGGAAGGTACAAGAGGCGGCCTTATCGCTAAGAGCGATTTCTTCCAGGCAACCTTTAGGTGTGTAGGAAATAGTACTAAGATAGAAGGAGAAGATACTGAGTTTTTCTCGGAAGAAAAAACAAATACATATAGCTGTAAAAGGAATGTACTATACTCTAGTATACTGTACTTCTAAGTTGCATGATTTTCATGGGACAACCATTAAAAAACATTAGTGGAAGATTTCAAAAGGTAAACTTTGTAGTTTTCCAAATACAAAATCAGCCAAATCCATTCATTATAGCTGGGTTCCGAGGTATAAACTGAACTGTACTCGACTAGTAATAAAATATTTAGCTTATATTTTAAGTTAACACATAGGCTACTTTTTATTATGTCTTTTCGCTGGTAAATGGCATCGTTAGAAACAATAATTACTAACAACTCGCCATCGCTCCGCTCGGATTCGTCCCTCCTTACGTTACAACATTTAGTAGGTATAGATTTCTGAAAAATATTTCTGATATTTCTTCTAGTAAAAAGTATCCTAAGTGTTGAACCGGAGAACCAGCTATCATCATACCAAATTTCATCAAAATATGTCCAGTGGTTTTCTCGTGATTTGGTCACAGACAGATAAACAAAAATTCTAAAAACTATAAATTCGGCTATAATTTCAATAAGATTTTCCAAAAAATATTTAATGTACATATTCGACTCAGCTAGAATTTTATAGGTATTTGTATAGATTGTATAGATTTACTAACTTTGATATATTAGCTTTTTGTAATGAGAAAATAAATAAATAGGTAATTATTATTATTCTCATTTACGTCGTCGATCCTCTCGAACATCTCCAAGGTTACGAAGGCATTAAGGTTCTGGATACGTAGCTCGCACTGCGCAAGACGGTGACTGACTTATAAATAGAACAGCCAATCTATGATTTCAAAAAGCTACTTCACATTGTACTCTTATATAATTATTGACATTTACAAAATCTAAAACAAGATTAAAAAGTTGACATTAGTCTACGTAAATATATTTTCATGCTAATTTTTATCCCGGAAAACGGACATAGCTTCTGATCAGCTTTGTACGTTTCTACCGTCGAGTACAGTTGTTAGATTAAAGCAGATGTCTCAATAAGAGAAAAATCGAATAGAAGGTCGTTCATTAGTAGGTAATCTTTATCAACATTAAAGTTCGCTCCATGCAAGAATCGAACCCATTTAGTCTCTACCTATTCTTTCGTTGAATGTTTATAGGAAACTACGGACTTAGATTCACGTCGCCTGGTTGCGTCCCGAGGTGTTTCTATTATTAAGAGTTACCTATGTTTTACTACATGTCATCCATACTTCCATACTTATATTATAAATGTGTTTGTTTGTTTGTCCTTTTTTCACGTCAAAACAGAGTGACGGATTAGCGTGATTTTTTGTGCGGAGATAGTTGTAGTGTGGATGGCTGGAGAGTGACCCATCAAAACGCCATCAAAATCGCTCCAGCCGTTTCTCAGATTACCCGGGAAAAGATTTTTCTTTTAAGTTTACCGTATATTCATATGCATTTAATAAAAAGCTGATATTTTTACATTACAAACAGACACTTCAATATTATTTATTTACCTATAGAGGTAAAAAAAATCCTCAGTCAAATATTGTCTGCAGTATCAAGGTTCGTGGGTTCGATTCCTATTGTATTATTTTACATTTGTTCTGTTCTAGATTAAAGTTTGGAATTGGGAACCAGATACATATATATGATAAGAGTGAGTAGATACGAAAGTATAGATATTTCTGTCCCTGTCATAATAATTCATACTAGTCTTATTAAAATGTGAAAGTTTATTTGTTTTTAATTATTTTACTCAGCAACGGGTAACGGATGGACGTGTATAGTACCTATACGTGCCAAGTAATGGAATATGGAAAGTAACAGGCTACTTTTTATCCCTTTACATCATGTTATTAGTATCTTTACATAGTAGAAAATGAAGTCGCTTCCGCTGTCTGTTCGGTTAGATATTTTAAACTACTCAACGGATTTTAATGAATTTTTCAGCAATAGATAGTGATTCAAGAGGAAGGTTTATATGTATAATACATGCATATTATAGTACAGAAAAGCCGACAATTCAAAGATTTGTATTTCCATACTAACCATTAAAACATAACTAGGGACGAACCCGAGCGAAGCGAGGGTGAGTCGCTTGTATTATATAATACAAAAAGCTTCGTGCAAACTGTAGTAAGAGCCTGAGTGAAACGATAATTGATCATTAGTAAATAAAATTTGAATAAAATATCTTTTCTTAACATAAATATTATTCAAACAAACTTTCATCCCCTATTTTACCATCTTATGAGATGAATTTCAAAAAAATGCTAAACATCTATTTATTTAATTGTATTGAAGAGCATTAATATCAAATTTCAAGTTATTCTGATCATAAATATTTTTTTGGATTGTATTATAACGTGTTTCCCATGGGAATAAGAAAATCTGCCGCGGTAAAGTAGCCTATGTCACTCTCCAGCCCCCCAACTATCTTCACACAAAAAATCACGCCACTCCGACACTCTGTGTCGATATGAAAGAAGGAGAAATAAACAAACACACTTTCACATTTATAATATTAGGTAGTATGGATTAACGACGATATGATTGCCTCTCCCATCAATCCCTAAGTTTCTAACTGTA